CTCTATCATGCCGTTACACCGCTAATTGTGTACTCTCCCCGACCGCGTCATACCAAAAGACGTTAAAATATGGTACTTGTTGGTCCCTGCCTGGCGCTCAGCATTAATGGGTACAACAAGGACTGGTCGGCTCGGAGTCAGTATAATGTGTCTGAGTAGGGTATTCATGCTTCACTGCGGCATGGTATCTCAGTGGGCTAGCACTATAAAACCAGCTTCAGTCTGGGCTAGTACAAGCAGCCGCACATACACATACACACGGGTGCACGTCGTCATATGAGCGAAATATTCTCAAGCACGACGTATAACCCAATTTCACCTCACCTCACCTCACCTCACCTCACCTCACCTCACCTAATTCACCTCACCTCACCTCACCTTCTAATTCGGACAATTTTTTTTAAATGTAAATTGTTTTAACTGTTAGTCATATTGTCCCGTTTAGACATAATAACCGTATGTCACATTATGTGTTTAAGGGTGGAAAGTAGAACTTAATGATACAAAGACAGTAATCATCACAAATACTGTATGTCGGTGACAGGGAGGTGGGCTAGTCCAGTGGTTCAAGTGTCCGCTTTTCACGCTGAAGACCGGGTTCGATTCACATATGGGTACAGTGTGAAGCCCATTTCTTGTGTCCTACGCCGTGATATCAAGTCAAAAAATTGATTACAAAACAGTCTCGCTTCATGTTGACTGGGTCCCGTCCTATTGCGCAATTTAGTACAATAACCAGTCCAGAATTTTGAGATCAATTCATGTAACTGGATACATAATTATTAATCAGTATTATTTGATACATCTAAGCACTTGTATATTGCTCCTTCTAATCCTTGCAAACACATCCTGCAGCGTGCTCTGTCGTACAGCGAGCTCTGACAAACGGAAACCTGGAAATCGTAGAAATCTCAAAACGAGGCTCTCCCGCTAGAAAAGTTTGGCGGTCTGGTACGGACTTGATATTATATCAATCACATTCTGCGTTACAGAACTACACTGAATAAGCGCAAAAACACAAAACAGGTGTAACCGGTGGCTGAAAAGTAGGTCATTGTCTGAATAGGTTAATGAGACTCATGTTCCGGTTTGGCTGGAATATTGCGAAAAACCATAATCACTCTCTCGTTAAGTGAAAAATTAAACATATGACTATTATACCACTCCTCTGCATTCGAACTTTGGTACACGATCCCGAACTTAACAGGATATCAGCTAAAATGATACGTCAATAAGGAAGTTGTAATTCGTGAATCACGCTGATCGGATATAAAGTATTTATAACCAACATATTCCCCCCTTCAGAGTTGACTCAACATCATTTGAACAATGACGAGATGTTTATATACAACAACTGACACATAAGTGCCATTGCATCACAGGAAATTCGTCAATTCCTCATCAGCATCACTAATTGATACATTCATTAATTACCGGCACACTTCATGAGCTCTACCTTGATGAGTTTGGATAAAGAAAAATATCTCTTGTAAATGGAACAGCGCGATTAAATTCCGACACGGCTGAGCGTCCTCAACAACAGGGACTTCCTGCTGCGTCCCGCGGGATTGTGGGTGATCCAACGAACCTATTGTCGCTCTAATGGGATGGTGCTTCCTGCTGAACGTCAATCATTAATGAGACATAAAGCTTAGCGTATCCCCACCTGGGTGTCGGGTTTAAACGCTAGCATTTTTAATTTGTAGACATCGGGCCGAATGTTCATTAGGAGTCATAATATCAGACATGTGTGAAAGATTCATGTTGGAGGCGTGATGTTACGGTCATTTTAACTGCCGTAGTAATGACAACGCGAGTATATGATACAGATCAGGATGATCGTGTGTAATGTATCGGGCATCCGTCACATGTAGGAGAATCGGTTCACAGAAACTCTAGGACAGGACTAAATCAATGCTCTGCTATGAGTGTCGAGTACATAGAGAGAATTTTTTGAAGATGTATATCATTATTCATCCTTTATCACCAAATTTTATAATTCTTGTGTTTGTTGAGGTAAATACATTTTGTGTCAAAGAATCTTGGGATTTTCAAAATGCTCAATCTCTTAGTGGTATCTCGTCAATCGTAGAGATAGCGTCCCATGAAAACGTCCGGATTGAGAAATGTCCAAGTTCGTGAACCATGTCCCTGGTACAAAACTTTATGAAGACGTTCTCTGCAGGAATGTGGGAGGTTTATTTGTAATCTGAGAGTGATTTGCAATCTGAAGTTCAACCGAGTAAATGAAACTGCCAGGCTGTAAATGTTAATGGGCGTTTAATTGGGGCTGTGGTAATGTTATAGATGGGTGGCTGGTTGTGAATGGGGAAGGTGATGTTCCAGGAGGAGGTTAGTAGATTGTGACTGCGGTAGGTCATGTTCTGAGAGGTTGTGACTATGGTGGATGCTAAAGTGGTTGGTGCTGAATTGTGGCAGTGGTGGGTGAGGTTAAAGGAGATGGATGCTGAATTGTGGCAGTGGTGGGTGAGGTTAAAGGAGATGGATGCTGAATTGTGGCTGTGGTGGGTGAGGTTAAAGGAGATGGATGCTGAATTGTGGCTGTGGTGGGCAGGGTTAAAGGAGATGGATGCTGAATTGTGGCTGTGGTGGGCAGGGTTAAAGGAGATGGATGCTGAATTGTGGCTGTGGTGGGTGAGGTTAAAGGAGATGGATGCTGAATTGTGGCAGTGGTTTGTGAGGTTAAAGGAGATGGATGCTGAATTGTGGCTGTGGTGGGTGAGGTTAAAGGAGATGGTTGCTAAACTGTGGCTGTGCTGAGTGTGGGTAAGTGAGATGGATGCTGAATTGTGGCAGTCGTTGGAGAGGTTAACTGAGGTGGATGATGAACTCGCACAGTGGTGGGCGAGGTTAACAGCGATGGATGCTGCATTATGGCAGTCGTTGAGGTTAACAGCGATGGATGCTGCATTATGGCAGTCGGTGAAGAGGTTAACTGATGGGGGCGAGCTGTGGCAGTGGTGGGTGAGGTTAACAGCGATGGATGCTGCATTATGGCAGTCGTTGAAGAGGTTAACTGATGTGGACGAGCTGTGGCAGTGGTGGGTGAGGTTAACTGAGATGGATGTTGAATTGTGGCTGTTGTGGGTGAGGTTAACGGGTATGGAAGCTGATTTGTGGTAGTGGTGGTTCGGGCTACCGGAGATGGCTTCTGAATTGAGGCTGTTGTGGGCGAGGTTAACGGACATGGAAACTGAATTGTTGATGAGATTACCTCTAATGAATTCTGAAACCCACTGCTGCTCACTTTGGGTCCATGATGTCATGGTTGCCATGTTGTTGACTTATGGGGACGGTGTTTTATGTGTTCTAAAATCCAAAAATATTGTCATCACAAGTCGCAACCAGCCATTAATTACTCATCGACAAGACATCCATTTGTCTGGACATTTGAAGAACCCTGTGATAGTATATTGTCAAAAACAAGTCAGCCTACCAGCCACTAATCGCTCATCACCGAAGACTCGGGTTCGGACATTTGATGGGGTCAACCAGTCAGTCAGTATTGTATCAAATTATATTTAATCTTTTGTTTCCTTAGGACCACGTAGATGATTAATCATGATAACTCATTATACCCATAATATGGACTTTTTTTTATTTCTGTGCGTCTCATCGCCCGACCGACTTAATTGGATGCCGACCCGATAATAAAAAGTTCTTTTTATTTCCGCCAACTCGAACTCAGGAATTACCGAATTCTCGTGCAATAGCTTCCTTCCTGTGTCAGTGCTGGTATGAAGGCTGCAGGTTGAGGAAAAGTGAAAGGTTATAAGAAAACTAAGAGCTGGGTATTAACATAAATTTTCTTCTTTCTTACATTATATTTCTTACACTATTATATATTAAAGAATCAAAAACATTTAATGACCGAGATGTCTAAGTTTGTGACAGTAATTTCCGATTAAATCTATTTGATATTCTCTGCTGCTTTTCTTTGTTGTTCTCTGTCGCCTTGCTTGCAATATTATGAATCTGTGTTATGGATTCGAATTCTGAAAATTTGAAAGCAAATGATTTTGCTGCATATATTTCTTATTTCCTGAAAACCAAAGACAACAACAAATAAATTAGTTGTATAAATAAATTGTATATAAATTGTACATATTAATAATAAGTTGTATAAAAAATAAATTAGACAGGTCTTTTGTTCTTTTCCATACGCAGATTTCCCATAGCCACTCCTATACCGGCAAAATATAACAGAATCCAAAGTTACAGTTGGTTTTGTCTTATTATCTCATGTAAATATCAACAAATAGACTATTTAATTAAATTTTGTTATTGTAAACCGACTGACAGACCCAAATTTAGATCCAGGTGACTACGAGAAACCCAAAATAACACGATGCCTTAACAACGTCACATCAACCGCGCCATTAGAGAACCTGTAAAAAAAACTTCATTACAAATTTAACAAACCAAGACGTTAATTCATTCATTATTGTAGACGTCATTCAAAGACCACCATCGACGATGCTGCGACGATACAAGTGAGGCATGATGGGAACTGTTACAAGATCATGATATTTAATCGATCCCTTCACCCCACGCCCTTCAGCTCTTCGTGTGTTATTTTAATTAGCTGAACAAACCCAGGTGGAGCGCAGGAACGCCGGCAGATGAATTAAGGTGATTTGATACTCAAGTGAGGAAGTCGACTGTCAATTATAATCTCGACATAACAAACACACTTTTAATCTCTGTTTACACTAATGGATTTTCGTAAGCATGAAACTGATGTTCTGTTTTCGGGTAAATGAGTGTTATCGATTGAAGCGCTGTGTAATGTATCGCAGAGGCGCTTTTTCAAACGCTTACGACAATGTGAAGATTATATGGGATTTAATTTTTAGGGAGGTGGATCATTTGAAAGCGGTTGATTAAGCAATAGGAAATGTTATCTTTGATCAGTGTGTGGGCTCTTCGTAGCTCTGTCCTCAAAGTGTACATACAGTTATCAGTGGGTACACTCAAAGTTGAAATGATTGGTTAATATTGCATCAGCTTCAAACGAAAAAGAAACTCACAGCATGGAAGTTCTTGGTGTTTCCACACAAAACGTAATCCAAGCTTCCATTTGTCGCTGGTGTGATTGGACAGTTCAAAGAGTAGAAATATGTCAACCATGTTGAAATGTATTATTTTTCTTTAATCTCTTAAAGGTACTAGAGAATATAGATTCTTGGTAAAATTTCGCGTGGTTCGATAAGGGGCATTGATTATATCTTCATTTGAACGATCTGAACGATGCAAGTTTTCTAAACTCTTGCATTGCAAGACTCAAACTACTCACAGATACCTATGAGAAACTTCACTTTGAGCGATATGCGTAAACGTGGAATCGTGGTCATTTACTATCTTGAAAATGCAAAATTAACGAATCGGTGTAAATTTGAAAAGTCATTTTAAAGAGAGATTCATTTTTGCATTTACATGGATACACAAAAAACAGAACATCAAAGCCAGAGATATAAATTCTCGATTATCTGTCCAAACCGGTTCCACTCGGCACAAAAGGCAAAATAATGGTGAAAAGCATATGGGCGCATCACCTAAAATCATTTTAACCTTGATCTAAAGACAATTATCAAGTATATGACGAAAGCTTTATTACTTGGAAGGTTCGGGAACAGGGTGAGTTACAACCTGGCCCCTGTACAAATAGTTGACATGTCATCAGTGGGCATTGACCATTCCTGTGTAATGTGTGTCAATAGCGTGATGTTCGTGATTTTACGTGCTCAGTTGGTTTCTTCATCACGAGGTCACATAGGCATAGGACTTAAAACTGGTCCCCACGTGAGTGAGTTCGGTTTCACGCCGCTTTTAGCTATATTCCAGCGGGGGACACCAGAAATAGGCTTTACACAGTGTACCCATGTGGGAATTCGAACCCGGGTCTACGGCGTGAAGAGCGAACGCTTTAACCACTAGGCTACATAACAATAACATGGAACATCAATTGATTTCGTAGGTGATAAGCAAAAAATGGTGACCTCCTCAACTGACAACAGCCCAAAGACGGCAAGTTATTGGTATACGTAATGCTGGCATGTCATTGAGAGCTGTTACAAGAGGTGTTGGTTGTCATCCATCGACTATCAGCAGATTGGCTAGGAAACATCAGCAAACTAAGTACGTTAAGGGCCGTCAGCGTTCAGGTCAACCAAGAGTCAAAAGCTCTTTTCAGAATCACAAGACATCATCATGTCAAGTGACGTGTTTGAAACAGGGTGGCTTCCATACCGTCTTTTGTCCAACAGAAAGGTCCGAAATCACCGGACGACACAAGGCTAGACTTCATATGCGACAAAGCTAGGTCATATCGTGCGGTTGCCGTTAGGTATTTCTTACGTCAAGTGGCGGTACCAACTCTACCTTTTTTCCCGCCAGAAGTCCAGATTGCAATCCCATAGAACATCTTTGGGACATTATAGATCGCTGAATACCATAGAGAGATCCTCCAGTACAAAACGGTGCAGCATTGGAACAAACTCTCCACCGAGAATGGTAGGCAATTATTCAACGTCAAATTCAACGTATAATAGTCAGTGAGATGGGTGGTCAGGGATATTATTGCAGTTGGCGGAGCTAGCACCAGATATTGACACTCTGCTCGGTTATTGATAATTATGATTTCTTGAGGAATGTATGCCAGAATCCTGAATATGAAGCACTTGGTAGCGTTGTACGACCATAGTTATCAGCACTACTAAATGTGTCCGTTTTTGCCATGTTTGCTTCTATTTAGGAGATAAACGTACTGTGTTTGAAAATTAGATGAATGTTAGGCCGAATTGATAGTCTCTAAATTTTATTTGAAGCCGAACGCGTAGCGTGAGGTTTCAAATGATTAATTTAGAGACTATCAATTTTGGTCTAACATTCATCTAATTTCCAAACACAGTATGTTTATCTCCATTCAACCATAATCGATTTAACATCGAACTTCCTCGTCCTGCGGAAGACACTGCGTAATCCGGCATGGGATGAGAGGCGAATGATTGAACTCGTCTGATAAAGGAGTGGTAGGTTCCGTTCGTATTTTTAAACATTGCAACATAACAAATATTCTGTCCAAAGAAAACAAACTACTTTTTATTCAATGCAATAATGTAACACCTAAGAGCTTGGTTTTTATAATCATAACTCCACAAGACTGAAACCAGCCTATTGTTTTGTGTGCCGTATTACTGTACCCCCCTGGCCACAGTATAATGGAATCGTCTGACCTACTTATTTTCTTGGAAGTAGACAGTTACGCAACAGTTTGAAATGACGGACGAGCCAGTGTTTACATTTTACGAAAGGTTGAAATTCGAAGTGACAGTGGAAAATACTTGACTGACTGTCGAACCTGAACCCTGCAGAATCGAAGAATAGATCCTTTTCTGATCGACCTATAACCTGTAACTCATCAAAGACTGTTGATTTTTATGACCGGCGAGTGTCGATCATGATTTCACGTACGTGCCTTCACCCCGGCATGCGAGGAAGAGTGACAGTGCAGCTTTGTATACATGCGACTAACTTGGGATTCCTTGGAACATTGTTCTCATCATTTGGGACTGGATTGTGGCCAAGCCTTTCAAAGTGTACGAACATAGCAGTGACAGCCTTCGGGGAAGGTGGCAGAGAACTGAATTCTCATGGTTCAGTTTTTGACATTTTGAACGATGCAACGGGACATGATGGAGTGTGAGTGGCAAATTTTGTGTTTCGCCTGACCGTTATATTGCGAATTTCCCATTCATAACGGAAACAAATATACCATTTAACAGGTAGGTAAATGTTTACGAACGTTTTGCCGCACAAATAGGGATAGATAGGGATGTATTTTTACAAGGTTTTCTGATTTATATGTTAGATATTGTTTGTTTATGTTTGGGGCTGTGTATTGTAATTGAGTTTGAATATTTTTATAATAGAAGGTAATAATTATGATAGTGAGGTCCCCTAATAATTGTGGAGGAAAAATCGTATTTTTCGAGTTTTAATCAATGTTTCAGCAGCATTTCCATCACGTCTGTTGTGTTGATATTAGTCATGTTGGTGGCCAAGCTGAAGTAGTGCGGCAGTGTTGTATACGTGCGCAGTGAAGCGCCGTGAAATCAGACGCATTTTCAATCCAAATTGATACCGTCTGATTTTATGGCTTGACCAATCAAATTCGAGCATTTCACGTAGCCATGGTAGAATAGTAATTATGACCGCCTCCTTGGTGTAGTGGTTAGAGCGTCTGCCGGAGAGCGGAAGGTCGCGGGTTCGATCCCCGACCCCGTCATACCAAAAGACGTTAAAATAAGGTACTTGTTGGTTCCTGCCTGGCGCTCGGCATTAATGGGTACAAGAAGGACTGGTCGGCTCGGAGTCAGTATAATATGTGTCTGAGTGGGGTATTCATGCTACACTGCGGCATGTTATTTCAGTGGGCTAGCACTAAAAAACTAGCTTCAGTCTGGGCTAGAACAAGCAGCCGCACATACACATACACACGCATGCACGTCGTCATAATAAGAGCGAAATATTCTCCTGTACGACGTAAAACCCAATTTCACCTTACCTCACCTATTAGTAAATTACAGATTTTCGTTCTTTTTTGCGTTTAGATTTGCCATTTTAATTCCCCTATTAATTATTATTCAGAGAGCAAGATATAATGAGGTCCAGATAAATTCAAACTGTCTTCGTGTGTATACTTGTATCTGAAATTGAACAAATTAAATATTTGGATCTTAACATTGAATATCTTTTTATAATGGATATAAAACGGATTTCATTTTCCACAAAACCAGGAAGAACATTTTAAAAATATACTGTTCTGCATTTAGGAGCGCTGTCTACCTAAAAACTAGTAAACAAATTCTATATTTACAAAAGACTCTTGTTAACAATTTGGTATCTGCCAGATAGTTGGACATTACTGTAATGAGGTAAAAAATGTCATTGAATCATATCAGCATTAAGCATAAATATTTATAATTTTGGTAAAAAAGCAACAACAAACTGTTTGGCCCAAACATCAAGAAGTGAACTGAGGACCATACATTAAAGCCCAGTTTATGTACATTTTCATCCAATACGTTCAGCCTGGTATAGATGGCACGATACGGACGCCTATGTAGATTCTTTATTCGTGAACTTAATGACTCTCAAATGAGTACACACTGATATCCTGCAACGTCCTGTTTCCACAGAATGGCCATATTTCATTCAAACTGGCCTACCCCTAAACGCCATGTAAAGTAAATTCCTTGCATCTGTAGATAACATCATAATGCTTCGTTACCCATCAGTAAACTGTTACCAGGGCCCATATTCTCGAAACGATTGTAGCCCTAAGAATTCTTAACTTTGATCGTGGCCAGTGTGTTGAGAATGGGCTAAAGAAGTTCGTAGGGCTACGAACGTTTCGAGAATAGCTAGCCAGTTGCTTGCCAGCTGTTCTTAAAATTGGGAAATATCTCTAAATAATTATAAATAACAAAAAGGCTGCAAAAAATGATATTCAATCGATAACTCTGACCTATGATGGTTGCTTGAATTCCCCCGCGGAAGGAGGTTCGTTGACATCCAAAACAATTCTCTTTGGGGCAGAAAATCTAATATCTGGACAGTAGCCAGAGCTATAATCCCTTGACAACGCGTGTCAGTCAGACCAACATGCCGGCGGTGCGTTTCATTCCGAGGTCAGTATACCTCCAACAAGGACAGAATTCCCCAAAAGAAATAACCTAAACGTTCTGTTATGAATGGAAATAATATTGTCTAAATGTGAACGTATAATTGTGTGATCGAGCGTCAAATATGTAAGTCTAGCTCTAGTGTCTGGGTTTTAACTCTGTATCATGTATCAGCCAATCTTGGTAGTTACCTAAATATTAATATACTGATAATTAATCATTTCTATATATGATCGCGTTAATCCGTTTGAGGTCGTTGATATATATTGTGAAATATCAACGAGATTCCAATCTATTGTATTTCCATTCAAAAGGCCCCTTTGTAACGAAGTATGCAAGAATGGTACATGGGGACATTCATACCGTGCTCGTACAAGTGCAGGGTATCAATGGAGATTTCCGCCTGGATTATCAATGGGTATCCTTTACGTTATGTTTACTTACATACTTACACGCGAGTGAGGAAGGTGTGTGGAACAGCATTTAATCTGTATCCAGTCGTGGAAACTTCAAAGATTAAACCAAAGGATGTGACGACAAGCTCGTCAGTGCCAATCTACATTCGAACCAGCAACCACCGGAGCCTGGTATGCATAAGGGAGGCAACTCTACACAGCGAAGTGCACTTAGGTTTAGACACCTGCACCTCATAGAGCCAATCAAACGCCGTAAGAAGTCTTGTGGAATGCCATTCCATATCTGTGGAAGCACCTGTCGGAGTTCCTGAAGCGTGACTGGGGGATTTGGCCAACGTCACAATATCCTCTCCATTTCGTCCCAGACGTTTCCGATAGGGGACATCAGAGCGGTGCAAGGAGAATCTGGACTCGTCTCCACTCACCTCACGTGCTCTCCACCGCAGATGTTGTCTGCACCACTGCAGTCGAAGACTTAATGTCAAAATGTCAACAATTTGTCGTCTTATAGGACGTCTAGCACGTATTCCGCTTGCAACCAAACGCCGACGAATGGTCCTTGGCGATATCCTGTTGACACCAGGAAGTGTTCGGGCTGCCAGTGTGGCTGGTTGGAATCTTTGGCGTGGATAGGTGTTTCGAATCCAACGATCGTTGCGTGGCGTGGTTACAAGTGGACGGACACTTCGGAGACGGTGTGCAACGACGGCGTGTTGTTGATAACGTCTCCACAGACGGCATATAGTGTTCCTGTGCACGTTACACTGCTATGCAACGTTCCGCAGGGGTGGTCCGGTTGTAAGCATTCCAATGGCTCGCCATCTTTCATTTTCAGTTGGCCGTGGCATAGAGAAATGCAAGCAGATTCTTCCAAATTTGTGTTTTTCGGACCCGTCGACGTCTAAACAATGATTTGGGTGACAATGATTCGAGGTTTAGAGCCACACTTTTAAAGGGCACGTTTTATGCCTTTCTTCCGCGGACTTCATCAAAGCACGAAAACCCACGCAAAGCAAAAACTACAGACAGGGCCCAATTTGGGCGATAGATTAAGTGTATTATAAAGAGTATTAAAACACGTTATGAACCTTTATCATTTATATAAACAAATATCTTAATCACACTAAATGTGGCCTTTGAGTATAGAATGATAGAAATATTTGCAGCACAGAACGTTCCGAAGCTAGCTCAATGAGCAAATGATTCACTAGTAGCAGTACTCGGGTTTTGGGTGAGTAAAGGTTAATGTGTCTGAAAGTCTGACTTGGAGTTATATTTCCCGGACGACATTACTATTGCAGTGTGCAGACCCTGGCATTGAAATACCTCACTGTTCAAAGAGAATAACAATTGAAGGTAGTCTGGACAGTAGGGAAACAATGAAAAGGTTTCGTAATTAGTTAAGGGAGTTGGAGCAGTTTTAATGAAATATCGAAATATGTTGATTTGGTTCTGGCGATTGTTACACCACGGAGGATACTTGTTGTCCGATGACGGGTCGAATTGGAACATCATCCTGACAATCATTCTCGGTTATCGATGCCTTGAGGAATGTTTAGAATCAATTATCTCTGATGACAGAGAATCCGAGTAAATGAAATGGATTTAGGTGATTTGCATGCGTTACCTCCTTCGTTTTCACTAGTAGACACACGAACCACCAACGTGAGCATTCTATACAATAATGTCATTTTATATATTTTTAATTTTGGTTAAACTATCTAAGTTAATAACAGAAACGATCACAGATAATCACTTCAACGAAAATCGAAAAATCCATAGTCCATCCAGAGCATGCTCTTGCTACATATAAAAGAGTCACTAGAGTTCAAGAGGAAGAAAACTCAAAATACTACAAAATTTTAGACTCACTTAAAGCACTCACTACATGTTATGCAAATATATATGGGATTACATCGAAGATGAATTTCTCCACTAACTTGGGGAACCAACTGCAAACCTTATGCAGATGAATTGCTTGAGGATCATACATCAAACTGCTGAAAAGCATGTGCAAATATAATGCATGTGAACAGCTGCGTGTTAGTGTAAAGTGTTGTTAAGAATTCGCCATTTTTCACTGATTTTCATCATTTATTGAACTCATGACAATAATCTTTTCAACGTTATGAATCTGTTTTACAATACATCAGTTCATGTGTAAATAATACCTATAAACAGTATGAAATATTTTGCAAAATCTAGTTTAGAACAGTTGACTGAAGTAAGTGGCTAAATTTACACTAGTGAGTCTAAAATTTGATGGTTAGTTTTTAAAGACTGACGTCAAATATATGGATGCTTTTGTTTGTGAGTGAGTGAGTGAGTTAAGATTTAAAGTCACATCGGCAATATTTCAGCCATATCGTGACTAAAACTAGTTCTAAATTTATAATACATACATATAATATATAAAACCCTGTCAACGAAGGACAGTAAAACCACTAGATTATCACAGATTGAGTTAAAACTAGCTAGCATATATCTTTAAAAGTAGAAATTTATTTCTGGACAATACAATGTTAAAATGGGCTAAAGATCGCCATCAACTGAAGGTAGATCACCATACTAGGGACCATGGGGACTTACAGTGCCTTTACTACCTGCATGGACCCTAGTTGGATTTACACAATCCCTTCAGCCCTTGGCGATTGTAGGACAAGTTTAGCCGAAATTTAAAGGAACAAATATACTACGTTTAAAAATCGGGTAAGCAAACATTTAACTTTGAAAGTTTTGGGACTTACGTACGCTTTTGTTTGTATGAGAAACAAGTTGGACATAGCCATAAAGTCATTTTACAAACGTTTTAGGATGTAAAGGCTTTAAAAATGCGGAGGGCTGACACACCTCTACCTTCAGGGTTCTACTTCGACTCTGTTAAAAACTGAGCGATTCGAATAAAGCATTCCGCAGACATCGGATGTCATTGTGCTCTGCTGGCTGTTGTTTGGAAAATAAAGCAACAGAATAACCAGTCTCGATTATCGGCAAAACATAGTTTATTGAACGTTAACGGCAAATAAGCGTTGGAAATTTAATTGCATCACTGAAACTAAGCAATGACACCGGGTGGTCAGGTAAAGAGACAAAAGTGTTGTTTAACTCGTTCTCAGCAATATTCCAGCTATATGTAAATAATCGAGTCTGGACCAGATAATCCAGTGATCAACAGCTTGAACATCCATTTACGCAACTGGGATACGATGACATGTGTCAACCAAGTCAGCGAGCCTGACTACCCGATCCCGTTAGTCGCCTCTTACGACAAGCATGGGTTGTTGAAGACCAATTCTAACCCAAATCTTCACGGGTCAAAGCGCCAAAGGGTAAGAATGTCATGGATTACCCGTTACACCAGAAACCCACACAATCTGTACACATATGTAATTGTTATTTTGTCGGCCGATGATTCAACGTCTCCTACTGACGTCTCCGCAGCTACGTCCTGGAATCAGAACACAAGAAGAAACATGGCGTAAAATTATGCATTGCCTACATTTCATATTTCATCGTATATCAATTTTAATTAACCTAATATATCTATGGAATCCTAGAAGGGACATTGTCGCTATGTCGCATTGTCGCCCTCTCAAAAACAAGTAAAGTAAGGCAAAATAAACCAAAACGCGACACGCGACAATGCGACATTTCGCCCATTTGTCGCATTGTCGCGATGTCGCGTGTCGCGTTTTGAATAATATTTTTCTATTCCTCCAAAGGGCGACACGCGACATATTTTGACCCTGAAAATTGTCGCTATGTCGCGTGTCGCCCTTTGGAGGAATGAAAAAATATATTATTCAAAACGCGACAATGCGACAAATGGGCGAAATGTCGCGTGTCGCGTTTTGTTTAATTTTGCTTGTATTTGAGAGGGCGACAACGCGACAATGTCCCTTCCAGGATTCCATATATATCCCCTTCGACCTGCCGAGCCCTACATGAACTGGAAATGACATACCAGAACACCAAAACCCATCCTATTTAAGAGCAGAGGGTCGGGTTGGTTGGTTGGTTGGTTGGTTGGCTGGTTGTTTAACGCCTCACTCGGCAATATTCCAGCTATATGGCGGTGGTCTGTAAATAATCAAGTCTGGACCAGGCAATCCAGTGATCAACAGCATCGATCTATGTAATTGGGAACCGATGACATGTGTCAACCAAGTCAGCGAGCCTGACCACCCGATCCCGTTAGTCGCTTCTTACGACAAGCACAGGTTACTGAAGACCAATTCTAACCCGAAGGTTCACAGGTCCCTGAACAGAGGGTGACCATCTCATTTCTATTATGTTTCCTGTCCCTTCACGGACTGTGTTCAACTGAGTGTCTGGCATCAAAACAAAATCTAACAGGTAACCAGCTAACGTAATTACCGTGAAGACCAGACAGGTCTAGATATTGTGAGGAAGAATCCGCACTGTTTGGGTACCATGACACACAAGTAACAACGTCACAGAGTCTGACCACACAATCCACTTTGTCACCGCTCACAGCGCTCTAAGACTATTCCAATTACATGACACTTGTATAAAACTGAATCTGGACTAGATAATCCAGTATTCAATACTGTGACTGATCAACACTTTCAGAATATTGGTATGATAGCCATTAGCCAATCAACCAAATTAGCAATATTCCATCAACATCATGGCAGGGGACACCAGAAATTGGCTTCACACATTGTACCCATGTGGTGAACTGACCATGGGCCTTCAGCATGACACACTAATGCTTTAACTATAAGGTGATACAGATAGCTATTTTCAACTCAAACCATCACATCTTAAGGATCATTTCACTGGTGCCTTGATCCAAATCCACAAAACGTTCATAGCACTACAATATTTGTAAATGATACACAATAGAGTTACAACAGGGCACAATTTTACAATCAGGACCCAGAACTTCAAATATGATTCATAGTCAAACAGTCTGGTATAGACAGGTTGATATTAATCAATTAGCTGCCAGTTAACTATTTCACAAATAAAATTCTCAAATATGTGAGTTCTCAAAACTGAAACAAGGAGGAAGTTGCAGTTGGTGAGGCATATCTTCAACAACTTAAGCAACACAACAATATATTTAAGTTTGATGAAGGAAGCAGTGAAGTGTCTTTCTTTAAAGTCTCTACCTTAAAGCTCTGAGTATAGCATGATATTGTCACCGTAAAACTGTGTTAGGGCACTACCAGTCTTCATAATTCCCAGTGCCAGAGTAAACATGTCATCCAAATTTGAATATATTGTGTTTATAGCGAATCGTTCATATCATTGTAAATTCTTTGGGAGAGAAGTGGTTTAGTTTGTTGATACTCCAGTCTCCTTCCACACCTTTCGTGAACTCTCGGATAAACCTGAAACAATGGAGAGTGAGTGAGTGAGTGAGTATGGTTTTACGCCGCTTTTAGCAATATTCCAGCGATATCATGGCGAGGGACACCAGAAATGGGCTTCACACATTGTACCCATGTGGGGAATCGAACCCGGGTCTTCGGTGTGACGAGCGAACGCTTTAACCACTCGGCTACCCCACCGCCCCAAAGTAATTACCAGTAGAAGAGTGGTTAGTGAGTGAGTATGGTTTTATGCATCTTCGATAATCTCCAGAGTATACGTTACGATCACACAGTGGTGAGTGATCGTAACGTATACCCTTGGAGAATATCGAGGATGGGTTTTATGCCGCTTTTTGCGATATTCCAGTAATTTCACGATGTGGGATTCCAAGAATGGGCTTTACACATTGTAACCATGTAGGGAATGGCACCCATGTATTTGACGTGACAAATGAAAGCTTTATCCAGTAATCAAACCCCACAGGCCAAGAACAACGGGAAGGCGATATGGGTTTAGAGGACGAATATAGATTTGTAATAAGGACATCTTTAACCACAGAAGGTTTAAACCAATTGCTAATCACAAACCTTCCGAAGAGTATTCATACAATTTACAAAATGGTTCGCTTGTATAACCGTCCAAAATGAAAAAGGCGTTTCTTTTTTAATACAGGATTTGTCTCAACATTAATCCAACTACATCCGGGTGTAACAGTATATGGAGAAAGAAAGAGGTAAATCTTAAACATTTAATTGAAAAACCAAGAATCAAAATCTCAAATCGAACCAACGATCATACGATCCTTGCACGTATAAGGGACGTTACTCTACAAGCCGAATACACGACTGAGCGACTATGCAACCGTGGCCCTCATGTTTGTGCTAAATTGCCTTCAAGTCGAGTACAAGCATAACAGTGAGGCTAACCAGAAAGTGGACAAAAGAAAATAATAAAGAAGATATTAACTAATTTACTGTTGAAATTTGCCAGAGCATGATTACGAGCATGCAAAAATACCTGGATCCATTGTATAACTGTGAATACACTTCCGACACATTGTATAACTGTGAAAACACTTACGGACACATTGTATAACCGAGAATACAATGACCTTGATCAATGAATGCATAACCGAGAATACAATGACCTTGATCACTGAATGTATAACCTTGATCACTGAATGTATAACCGAGAATACAATGACCTTGATCACTGAATGTATAACCTTGATCACTGAATGTATAACCGAGAATACAATGACCTTGATCACTGAATGTATAACCGAGAATACAATGGCGTTGATCACTGAATGTATAACCGAGAATACAAAGACTTTGATCACTGAATGTATAACCGAGAATACACTTACCGACACAATGTATAACCGAGAATACAATGGCGTTGATCACTGGATGTATAACCGAGAATACAATGGCGTTGATCACTGAATGTTGCCAACGTCCATGTTGATGAGTATTTTTGGATAGTGGAAGTCCTAATTTAAACTTCAGTAGATGGAGAAACTCGGGGACCACTTGAACTAATAAAGCTGAGTTCAGAATCCGTTGTCTTGTCTCAGGTATAAACTAGGTGCAGTAAGGATCGTTGAACACTGATGATCTGACCAGGACGGACACACAACGTTGATGACTGAGGCAGGTGATCAACAGAATGGCCACACAACATTCATGACTGAGGCAACAGATCTGAGGCATCTCCCAAATTTGAGAAATTACACTGAAAGACCTCCGGATTGAGCGTCCATTTCAACTTTATAATAACCGAAGTTTTTGACAACATGTCTGTACGAACATTGAACCTGTTTCATTGTGTACAATTATCGGTTTTCTGCATTAACTTGAGGTTCGTTTTCTCCTGCTTGTTGTTTGGTGATGTCAATATCTGAGCTATGATGAAACTGCATCAGTAAGAATCCGTTGGCATTTGTATTTACTCCAAAAATCCCTTTCATTTGTACCATGTTGGTACGAAACTTTTGTGGCCCATAAGCGCTCAGTGGCGTGGGTTCCGTTATGGGCTCCACAACTCTTCCTAGACGGATTTGGAAGTGACAAATTGTCGGGTTGAAGTATGCACCTATCTGCTGTTGCAACCACGAATATCCTGAATCTTTTATTTATTTATTTTTTTTTTTTATTTTTTTTATTTTTTTTTTTTATCCTGAATCTTGTGAGTATCTTTCGGATACACTCGGAAGCCAAAGGCACAAGTAGGATAAAAGAATGTGTGTCTCTGATGGGTTGTTCTTGTGTTGAATAGCGTCTACATTATCGTCCAGGGTCCCGATCCTCAAAGCGTTCGTAACGTTACGACCTGCCGTGACTCTGTAGTTTATCATAGGCTTACGAATGTGGGAGCGCTATGAACGTTTTCTGGATCGGGACCCAGATCGGATGGAGGTACCCATCCATCTTGTTTCCATTTGCTTGCAGAGAAAAGAATAGTAATGCTAAGAAAGGATTTTAGAGTATAATGCACCTTTGTGATACGTGGAATATTTATGTTTCCTCTTATTTCAGCTCCAGAACGCGATCCAAACTTTTCACTCAGTGTCGCTTGGCTAACGCCAAGGAGTTCGCAGTTCGTATTTAATTCTGTCGAGATAGAATGGACATAATGCGTTTTTAATGTCGAGCTAGGTTACCTGTAGATTAATCGTTGTTATTTTATTAATCTTACTTTTAGCTTGTTTTGTTTAATTAATCATGGATATTGTCTGTCTCTCCAGTGTGCCTGTCTCCTAAAACATTCCCAGCGCCACATGCTTTTGGAAATGGGCAAAAGGTTCTCTTGCCCAATGACTGGTTTCAAAACTACCAAAAGACGAAGCCATGGTACTAAACATGTCGGTAAGTAAGCATTTACTGAATTAATTTTACCATCCTCGTTAACACGGGAGCTGCACCTTCATCAGCATTTGCCTCGACAAACATGCGACACGCATGATGGTGTTGGTAAACAAACTGTAATGAATGGGTAAACAAACCGCGGCGGAATTTGAAAAGGTCTGTCAGCGGCCATACCCACATTCCAGCTCCATAGACAATAAACGTTCAACTCAGTGTGACCGTCAGCTAAAACATGCTCTGGTCAAGTGTTGAAACAATCCCATCTCCATCATGTTCGTTGACAGATGACATGGTTAAGCGATAACAATCAATTATCATCTTGATCAATGTGTGTGTTTACAATGACTCATAGTCTACAAGCGGATGTCGTGTATGGCTGGAATGTTTCTGAGCGGCAGCAAGCAGCAACAGCTCATATTTAGTTCCTACAAGAGCAGTCAAGAGAAGTTTGCTTACATTTCATAACAATTTAGTTGTAAATGAAATCCATCAAAAAGAAGCAGGAAATTGTTAGGCGTCACGACCCGTGAAGATACTAATAAATGCATATTTATAATGCGCCCCTTCCACACCCTAAGGCATGCTCAAAGCGCTACAGAATATTTACACTGGAGTATTTATAGATGAAGTTATACATAATATACTGAGAAAAGGTGGGTTTAAGTCTGGACTTAAAAATGTCATTTGTGTCAGAGCTTTTAAGGGCACATGGGAGAGAATTCCAAAGTACAGGTGCAGAGTAAGAGAATGATCGGTGTCCAAAGGATTTCAGTTTGTAGGATGGGATGACCAGTCGATTTTGTGTGTTTGAGCCCAAGATGCGTGCGGGGACATACGGATGTAGGAGTTCAGACAAGTAGGAGGGAGCCAAACCATGGAGGCACTTGTATGTCAGACAGAGGATCTTAAAGTCAGTTCTGGCCCTAACTGGTAGCCAATGCAGTTCTGTGAACACCGGTGTTATATGGGAACGTTAAGAGGTCTTGCTGATGATGCGGTGGAAGTGTTTTGGATCTTCTGAAGCTTATCAAGGAGTTTAGAACTGAGGCCTGTAAGGATGCTGTTACAGTAGTCAAGCCTAGATGTAACAAGAGCTCGAACAAGGGCTTGAGCTGCAGCAGTTGTCAGGTATTGCCGAATGTTACCAATGGATCTTAGGTGAAAGTAGCAGGTCCTGCTCAGACGGTTAACATGAGCATCCAGAGTCAAGGAAGAGTCGATGTGGAAACCCAAATCCTTAACAACATCAGAGAATCTGACGTCAGCGTCTGCGACTGTAAGAAAGTCGGTTTTGACCTCGCTAAGTTGTTGCTTTGTACCAATGAGAACTGCTTCTGTTTTTGTGTCATTAAATTTAAGCATGTTTCCTGTCATCCAACACTTGATGTCCTGCGTACATTCAGCGATGCACTGAAGAGACGTGGAGAGATCTGACAGATGAAATGCTTTCAGGAGCTGGGTGTCATCAGTGTAGGCATGGTGAGAAACTGTGTGGTCTGTAGATCCGGGTTAGATTTGATCTTCAGTAACCCATGCTTGTGGTAAGAGGAGACTAACGACATCGGGTGGTCAGGCTCGCTGACTTGGTTGACACATATTATCGTGTCCCAATTGCATAGGTCGATCCTCATGTTGTTGATCACTGGATTGTCTGTTCCAGACTCGATTATTCACAGATCGTAGCTATATAGCTGGAATACTGCTGAGTGCGGCGTAAAAGAACAACCAATCAATCAATCAATGCAAGGCGTCACAACTAGCTATTAAAGACCTCATCGTCCGGGCTCACAGTTCTCTTTGTATGATCCGACCGCCTCCGTGGTGTAGTAGTTAGAGCGTCCGCCCGGAGAGCGGAAGGTCGCGGGTTCAAACCCCGACCGCGTCATACCCAAAGACGTTAAAATATGGTACTTGTTGGTCCCTGCCTGGCGCTCGGCATTAATGGGTACAACAAGGACTGGTCGGCTCGGAGTCAGTATAATGTGTCTGAGTGGGGTATTCATGCTTCACTGCGGCATGGCATATCAGTTGGCTAGCACTATAAAACCAGCTTCAGTCTGGACTAGTACAAGCAGCCGCACATACACATACACACGCATGCACGTCGTCATATGATCGAAATATTCTCAAGCACGACGTTAAACCCAATTTCACCTCACCTCACATCTTTGTATGATCCAATACCTCCTCTGACATTCGTAAGATCATAATTGAGATATAAAAAAATACTATGGTATTTGTGGAAGTTGGAGCACAGTTCAAAATAGACGTGTAAAATAACAAATACATGTACGTAAATGACCCGGAAGAAACAATCCTCTGGCATTTTTTAAATGACTTTAATCTATACAACTGACGCTTGGGATCAGTTTAATCGACACAAATATCAGACACAACCAAATCTAATTAAACAGACCAGGTTAGGCTATTACATCGCATGAGTACACGACGTACATTGGATATCTATAATTCTCTTTTTCATAATTAGTTGGAAATTGATCATATCTAAGAAAGCATCAACGATTAACCACAGGCTGATATGAAGAATATTTAGATGAGGTTGGAAATTAGACTTAACAGTGATTATTAGCATATTAACACTTTTCTTCGTCATTGCCATTAAATATTCATCCTATAAGAAAAATGTATCTCGACACCAAATTAATGACATGGAAATCTATATAAATACTTTGGTTGATCAAGATACAAAATAAATTAAGAGACGCTAAACAGGTGCATTTATAAAACTATAAAACAGAAGGAATACTATTGCTATCTAGATTAGACTGGACTGAAAAGGGAGAAAAGAAAACAGAAATGCTTCAAGAAAACTCTAAAACAAAGTAACAAGATTAGAAAATGAGATTAAATAGAGCAAAACTAACCGAGACCTAATCAAGGAAACACTCTTTCTATACACTAAACGCAGAACCAAGACAATGGATACCTCCACTTAATTAAAGGGATCCAGATACACAGGTGAAAAAGCAAAGAGGCAAACTCACCTATGATGAAATATGAAGAGCTTTGTTAAAAAAATGAAAAACGAATGAAGTCCTGGTTTCTTGGGATTTACAATTGAACTTCATATTTCCCTGGATTGATATTAAACAATTTTCACTTTGATCCTTAAATGATAGTCATCATGACTGATCTGTCTGTCAGACCAAGGCAGTAGGCCCGATTTACAGCTTGGTGATTTCCTCTGTTGAGACCCATTAGCAGAGGATGGAAGTGTTATAGTATTCGGTGGCATCAAACCCATACACAACACATCATTTCTTATGGCAGTTTGAATGACATACGCTACTGGGAGGACATCGTTCTGTATCAAATGCATCTGTGCAAATGCAAGGACGTTACGTTGCAGCAGGATATCGTTCGTCCACATGTTGCATGTCTTGAAACAGAATGTTTGAGACAGTATAACATTGTTGTACAGCCATTGCCGGCTGTTTCTCCAGTTCTCTAAAGAACATGTCTGGAATGAGAGGAAACGAGGCCAACCACAGGACCTGAACCAGCCAGTAACTCTCTCTTTCCATCTCTTTGATATTTAAATAAGAACATTCCCAGGTCGTTTTCAGTCTGCCCTCTTGGATGTGCCGCCGCTACCATAACATATACTGGACAAAATAAGTTAGGGATATTGGTATTTTTATGATTGATATGTTATCAGCGTGTCAATGAATGAATAGATTATTCATAATTTCAAAATTTACATATATCCCTAACTATTTTTGTCCAGTATATGAACATTGTTCATTTCATTTTTACGCGAAACCTTTAGGGCGTGTCGTTCTGCTTCCTGATACAAGGTATGATATTTGTCTGTGAATTTGTTATGATAGAACATTGATCTGACGAATTACCAAATATTACGTTGTTTTAAAAAAAATCATTTACAATTCATATGTTTGGTTGGTTAATTGGTGGTTGTTTAACGCCGCACTCGGCAGTATTCCAGCTATATGGCGGTGGTCCGACAATCCAGTGATCAACAGCATGACCATCGATCTAAGCAATTGGGATAGGCTGAGTCTTTGTCTGACCCTGTCTGACACTTTTAGCCAGAGGGATTCTATTTGTTCGGGTGAAACGTGGTCATACGTTCGAGTCTTCTGAACCTGCTGTTATATCTGTTTAGTAAGCCAATAAAAAAGGATGTTATAGTTACCTGCGACAGCCACCGATGTTTCTGAAGGTGTTCTATACCTGCTAACACATTTTATTCATACGGGGCCTCTGCACAGAAACTCAGCTCACTGTTATTCAAAACTTATCTTTCTTGTTGCCAAATACGAAACATCTTTCTTGTCGCCTGTTATCAAACGTTTCATGTCCACTTTTATTAAAGATGTCATCACCAAATATAAATATTTCTGCTTGTCCCTTTAATTTAAAAAGGCCACTGCTCGATGTTCCCTTCTGGTAAGAAAGAAATCCTTGCTGATGATCATTCAAAACCCTCCTTCTTCTTGTTCGTGTTTGAATACACCTTCTTGGAGGCTATATGAAAGATTCTCAATAAACAAATTAAAGTTGTTGTTTAAAATAGTTTAATACTGTTATTGTCAGTGTATTTGACATCATGTACACAGCACCTCACATAACCACATCATTCAATGCAAACAAGTCATCAACAACAATTTGGAACAGATATAGGACTACGAATTACAGATAGGTGTATACTTACACAGGAAACATAAACTCGAATATGCAAGTGCGAAACTACTGCACACAGAGATCTGTTCAACATGTGCAAGTCAGCAGTGGGAACCTCTGGTATACTAGTATATCATATACTCAACAACCAATGCCCTAACTATTTAGCCCTCCAACAATCCAACCCCAATTTAGTGACCTAAACACCTCAAAGAAGTCACTATGAACAGTCTCACACCAAATGCCCTTTAACTCTTAATGCCCTTTTGACTCTTTTCTTAACGAAGTCAAAACACAAATCACAATTAATAACAAAAGCATAGTACAAGAAATGTTAATCGTCTTCAAAATCAACAAAACATATGTTTGGGTAATGTATCAAATTCATCATAGAGGTAAACTCAAGACACTGAAATATGAACATGCTGAGAACCTCAAAATCATAACATGCCTATTCAACCTGATATGAAATTGACTCTAACAGGGTTCAATTTATACAGCTCCGAAATCCGTCACAAAAAACAGTGGGCAACCAGGGCCATTACCATTAGCAATCAAAGAAGTAGCTGTTACCTTGTGCTCTCAGTCATTACTTGTTGACTATTAGGTTTTCTTTGCTACTAGTGAGTGAATATGTTTAGTTTTACGCCACATTTAGCAATATTCCAGCAGTATCACAGCAGGGGGGACCAGAATTGGGCTTCACACATTGTACCCATGTGGGGAGTCAGACCCGGCTCTTGGCATGACAAGCAAAGGCTTTAACGATTAGGCTACCTCAATGCCCCCTTTGCTCCTTCCATGAACTACCATGGATTTCCAAATTTCGATTGTTCCAAAAATCAGCTGATGCAAGCTGTAGGATTTACCCTTCTTCATCTCCCTGAGATACTTTCAGAATCTAATACACAAATCTCTTATTCAATCACTTAGTTTTAATTATTTTCCATCAAAAGTAAATTTTGGTAAAAGTATCAAGATGGGAAATTAATGAGTACCTAGCAATATTCCAGCATCACGGTGGGAGAACCAGAAATGGGCTTAACACATTGTTGGTAAAAGTATCAAGATGGGAAATAAGAACCTGTGGTGCTTTTGTTGGGGACACAATTATATTTTTTAAAACCTGGCCCAGTTATGGTTTTCATCAAGCACATATTGGCAAATTTCGAACAAGATAATCCATGACTGATATAAAAAAAGAATGGATTAGGAGATACAGAAACCACAGCTTTAACAGAAGCAACAGCAAATTTAAAACCTGTCAAATAGTTTCTAAAAAATATCCCAAATTTACTCCTTATATGAACCTACGGTCATTCTAGTTATGGTTAAAAACAAAGATATTGAAACTTAACATTTTCAAGAAAGTCAGCAGACAGACCATTACAAGAGTGTGGATATAGCTGCAGCTTAGTGGAACCCTGAGAGATCCTAAACCCTACAATTCCTGCTGATGACAAGAATCCTGATGTCCATGCAAGAAATATAAACAAACTGTTAGCATGGTATATTTTCTGATTATTCCTATTTCATAAACACAGATAAACCATTAATACATATATACAAATGAGTAAACAAAAATGTTCAATACATGTGTTGGTGAAAACCAATTTACCTTTCAGCTTCATCTATTGTTCATTTTAAGTGATCGATAAGAAGTGTCTGAATCTGGAACTTTTCCAACTTGTTGCAAGTGGAACAGAAAAGTTATGAATCATGTTTAAGAATCTCAAACAACTGCTATAAAGCTTGGATGGTCAGTCTCATGATTGTATGTCTCCAAGCATCAAAAAGAACACGTGCTTCCCAAAGCTACACAAATGGCCAACAAAAGTAAATTCTGTGATGGATTTTCCTCTGTCGGTTCACCAGTGATTGTACATCAACTTTCCATGACTTTCCTTGTAGGCTTATTCTGTTTGTATTGTTTAAGCAAGCCTGCTTTGTGACACAGACCTTAAAATGATTGAGTGAGTGAATTTAGTTTTACGCCGCACTCAGCAATATTCCAGCTACATGGCGGCGGTCTGTAAATAATCGAGTCTGGACCAGACAATCTAGTGATCAACAGCATGAGCATCGATCTGCGCAATTGGGAACCGATGACACATGTCAACCAAGTCAGCGAGCCTGACCACCCGATCCCAAGGTTCATTCTAACCCGGACCTTCACGGGTATTTTAAATGATAGAGTCTAGACCAGACAGGTCTAGATATTGTGAGGAAGAATCCGCACTGTTTGGGTACCATGACACACAAGTAACAACGTCACAGAGTCTGACCACACAATCCACTTTGTCACCGCTCACAGCGCTCTAAGACTATTCCAATTACATGACACTTGTATAAAACTGAATCTGGACTAGATAATCCAGTATTCAATACTGTGACTGATCAACACTTTCAGAATATTGGTATGATAGCCATTAGCCAATCAACCAAATTAGCAATATTCCATCAACATCATGGCAGGGGACACCAGAAATTGGCTTCACACATTGTACCCATGTGGTGAACTGACCATGGGCCTTCAGCATGACACACTAATGCTTTAACTATAAGGTGATACAGATAGCTATTTTCAACTCAAACCATCACATCTTAAGGATCATTTCACTGGTGCCTTGATCCAAATCCACAAAACGTTCATAGCACTACAATATTTGTAAATGATACACAATAGAGTTACAACAGGGCACAATTTTACAATCAGGACCCAGAACTTCAAATATGATTCATAGTCAAACAGTCTGGTATAGACAGGTTGATATTAATCAATTAGCTGCCAGTTAACTATTTCACAAATAAAATTCTCAAATATGTGAGTTCTCAAAACTGAAACAAGGAGGAAGTTGCAGTTGGTGAGGCATATCTTCAACAACTTAAGCAACACAACAATATATTTAAGTTTGATGAAGGAAGCAGTGAAGTGTCTTTCTTTAAAGTCTCTACCTTAAAGCTCTGAGTATAGCATGATATTGTCACCGTAAAACTGTGTTAGGGCACTACCAGTCTTCATAATTCCCAGTGCCAGAGTAAACATGTCATCCAAATTTGAATATTGTGTTTATAGCGAATCGTTCATATCATTGTAAATTCTTTGGGAGAGAAGTGGTTTAGTTTGTTGATACTCCAGTCTCCTTCCACACCTTTCGTGAACTCTCGGATAAACCTGAAACAATGGAGAGTGAGTGAGTGAGTGAGTATGGTTTTACGCCGCGTTTAAGCAATATTCCAGCAATATCAAGGCGGGGGACACCAGAAATGGGCTTCACACATTGTACCCATGTGGGGAATCGAACCCGGGTCTTCAGCGTGACGAGCGAACGCTTTAACCACTGGGCTACCCCAACGCCCGAAACAAAGGAGAGAGTTTGTATTAACATCACATGGGGTAAGGTTTTTTTGGTTTTGGTTTTCATCTTTATTTATTCCATTTCAAGTTGCATGTATTGATATTAAGTCATAGTATAAAGAAGTATGTTATGAAGACTCACAGCAAAAAGTATGGATGCAGAGAGTCTACAAAACATACATTTTGAAAATAAATTTCTAATTTTTAAATCCAGATTTGAATTTCCCACTGTGTCAGTCAGGTGGCCATAGAAACAAGCCTTGGAGTGGGGAAAATGTTCATTCAGGGTTTCATATTTCAGGCAGGCTGGGAAAATGCCAAATATGTGCGTATTTCAGTCACTTTACTCACCTAAGTATTACATCATTGAGTAAGTTTACTAAGCAGGTATGTTCTGCCTTATGTCATACCTAATCAAAACCAACTTAAATATAATGGAAATTATTTCATAAACAATCACTCATCCTTTACTGACAGTACAACTTGATAGCAATCTATGCCTGTTTCATTACGCAAGAGATTTTTATAAATATATTCCGTACGCATTTGTTTTAAACTTTTTGCGTATCTAACATTTTAAATGCGTAATTGGTACGCAACAATTATTTTTCAATGCGTAATTCTATGCGTATTTTACCCGGATACGCAGCTAATCTGGGCCTCTGACACATGTCTATTTTAGTAGTAGTTTAGCCGTTACAGTCTTGTCACTCACGGGCAGATAACATCTTCATTGCTGAGGAGTAGCAAATGGGAGACTATTTGGAAACCCACGGGGGTTTCGGAGGTTTGAGCCCCGGCCTTTTTAAGCAGCATGAGAAATCCTGGTAGCTTGCTGTTTAAGGCTTGAAGTATAGATTAATCTTTTGGCAAGTAGTAAAATGTGATCTGCTACATGGTTGTTGGAGGACAGTCCAAACATAATAATGAATTTAGAGAGTGTGAAATTGGTTTGGAGGAATTCTTCAACTTTAAGCCAAAAGTTCCCAACAAATTGACATTCAAAGACATATTCATGTGATAAATCTTCTGAGGCGGTTTTACAAACTGTACATGTATCATCATCAACTATCTTCATCTTCAATAAAAAAAATTTGTATAAATTATTCTGTTTATAAATCTGTATTGAAAGTTACATGGGGCAAGTTGCTTGGGTCTGAAGGAAAAAGGAGTGAGAGAGGGAAGCAGAGAGAGAGGAAAAGCATTTCAAGCCACAGAGAAACATGAGTGAGTGAGTGAGTAGGTTTAACTTTATGCCGCACTCAGCAATATTATGACATGGGTCAATCAAGTCAGCGAGCCTGACCACGCGATCTGGTTAGTCGCCTCTTACAACAAGCATGGGTTACAGAGAAACATGAACCTTGAAACCAAGGCCCTTGTCAGGTTTCTCACTTTTCATACACTTTTCTGAGTTTTCATCTGGGTATTTACAGAGGATGAAATCTTGGCATATGTACCTAAATATATATATATATATATATACAGATATACTACATTTGCTTACAAATAGAAATATCTGGTAAAAACAAATGTTGCAGATGTTAACAAAAACCATGTACCAAGATAATGCCCATTAATACATAGTTGTTTTTGGGGGGGGGTTTACTGTCAAGGGCATGGCAGTTACTTTTTTTTATATTTTTTTTTTACCATTAATACATAGTTACCATAGCAACAGAAGCACACACTGGTAAATTCTATGAATAAATGAATATGCACTCACCTATAGTTACATATATACAGTCTTTCTTGGTTGTCTCGCACTTCATTGTAATATTCCATAGGTTCCTTTTCTTTGGCTTCATTGTAACCATGGAAACCCTGGAGCACCACTGTAACCTCCACAAATCTTCTCTCTGAAGAAAAGTAGCTCCAATTATTAAAGAACGTAAATCAATTCAACTGACATTGACACTGTACTGGCATACAAGACTTCAACTTTGAAGGTAAAACAAGCATCTTGAAAGGGTTGAACAATACCGAGTGCCCCTTTTAAGTTGCCATGACAGCTATCAGTGAGCATTATGGAAATGGAAAAGAAAAAACAGTAACTGACACCCTGCTGAAGAGATAGGATGGTCTTCAATGAAAAGATTGATAATTTTGTATTTCATATTTTATATTTGTTTAATATGGCACTTAGCAATTAAAGCTTTGAGGCAGCAACCTGTATATACACAAGCTTGGACATATTAAACCAGTGATCGATACAATGAGCAACAACCCATGCCTCTGGCATGACATGAATCAGACAAGTCACCAAGCGAGATCAACCAATCCATTAAGGTCTCTCTTAGAACTAACATTGGTTCAAGGGACTAATTTTAACAAGAAATCTGGGTCCTACAGGGTCTTATCAAACAGATGTTACCCACAGACTTTCCATACGCCTTTAATGACTTCTCAACATGCAAAATCTAGAATTTGGCACACATATTAATCATTGTCATAATGTCAGTAGAAAATCGGTGTTGTTTGTTTGTTGTTGCATTCAGTAATATTCCAGCTATATGCTGTCAGTCTAATATTATTGGAGGTCTGAGTAATTGAAATAATCGAAGATTGGTCGGAGTGACTGAACAACTATGCAATTGATCATGTTTTCTTATAATCGAACACAAACAATTTTGACACACTTGTTTGCATTAACAATATTTTTCAAACGTTGATTTGTCTGTGTCATGAAATTAACATTTCATAAGCACTACAAGCTTGTTCCACGTCATGACTGAATTTATCTCAAAGAATCAAGGAGATTTATGTTCTTAACATACTAGTCATCCTTAAAGATGTGAAATTTGCAAATGAATTTGGTGCAATTTGCAAAATAAAACCCCAAGAACTACATGTTTTCCTGTGCATTAACAAACATAACAGGAAATTTTGATAAATAACACTAAGCAATTATTTTCGATGATGGATCGGTTGTATTAAACCAATCATCAATTATGAAATTTTAAACAATTCCCAACACCGCAGTCTATATATACTTCCCACCAAAAGTTTAGACTCACTTATAACACTCACTATAAGCTATGTATATATATATGGTTACATCGAAGATTGATGTCTCCAATAACTTGGGGGAACCAACTGCAATCCTTATGCAGATGGGTTGCACGAGGATCATGCATCAAATTGCTGAAAAGCATGTGCAAATATCGTGCATGTGAACATCTGCGGTTTGGTGTAAAGTTTTGTTAAGAATTCGCCAATTTTCACCGATTTTTATCATTCATTGATCTCATGACAATAATCATTTCAACGTTACGAATTTGTTTTACATTACATCAGTTAATGTGTAAACAGTACCTTTAAATAGTATGGAATATTTTGCAACATTTAGTTAGAACGGTTGCCTGAAGTAAGTGGCTATATTTACACTAGTGAGTCTAGACTTTTGATGGGAAGTATATAAAACCAAGACAATCCAGCGACACAATGACATCAACCAAGTCATCTGAACCAATCGTGAAGGATTGCACAGGTACTCCTCCAGCTTCTGTCACAATATTTATAACTATACTGCAAGTGTATCACGTATTAGGTGAGGTGAAATTGGGTTTTACGTCGTGCTTTAGAATATTTCGCTCATATGACGACGTGCATGCGTGTGTATGTGTATGTGCGGCTGCTTGTACTAGCCCAGACGTAAGCTGGTTTTATAGTGCTAGCTCACTGAGATACCATGCCGCAGTGAAGCATGAATACCCCAATCAGACACATTATACTGACTCCAAGCCAACCAGTCCTTGTTGTACCCATTAATGCCCAGCGCCAGGCAGGGACCAACAAGTACCATATTTTAACGTCTTTTGGTATGACGCGGTCGGGGATCGAACCCACGACCTTCCGCTCTCCGGGCGGACGCTCTAACCACAACACCACAGAGGCGGTTATCAAGTATTAAGTTGAATAAGGGCTTCACTTGGGCGATTCAGAATCATCTCGTCTACACACATCTATATTTACCTGAGTGATCATCAAATATCATGCCAATCTCGTACACAAAGCGGAAGAAGATATCCCGAGGATTAACACCGACAAATCTTCTCTGGCTCACATCTAAATCTGCATATGAGTTCCGGATTTCTTGAATGGCCTGTAAAAAATAGAGGGTTTCAGAATTCTTTATTCCCACTTTTAACAGTACTGTGTTCCAGTTTTATCCTGGCATGTCATATGGGAAGACTGACTGACTGACTGAGTTTGGTTTTACGCCACTATTAGCAATATTCCAGCTATAGTCCGTTTGGCTCAAAAGCGGACCGATGAATTGCAATCTTACTCGAAAACTAATAAACATAAAATACTCAATGAAACACTGATCATAATCAAAACGTCAGACCAACTCTGTGAGGTTTTTGCAGAATTTATGTCCTAAAAATAATAAAGTTGTTTAACAAACTATCATTAAAATATTGACACAGTTCACTACTTGTTACGAGGGAGGAGTGCATAGAAAGGGACAGTCAAGTGTGCGAGAAAGGATGGAGACGGCACAGCACAGGTTAATGGATCAATAACTTTGTCGGCACTTGTGCACGTGCTTCCCTAACACCTGGCTGTCCCTTTCTCTGCACTCCTCCCTCGTAACAAATAGTGAACTGTGTCAAAATTTTAATGATAGGTTGTTAAACAACTTTATTAATTTTAGGACATAAATTCTGCAAACAAATCACAGAGTTGGTTTGACGTTTTGATTATGATCAGCGTTTCATTGAGTATTATATGTTTAGTAGTTTTGGAGTTAGATTGCAATCCATCGGTCTGCTTTTGAGCCAAACGGACTATACATCACAGCAGGAGATACCAGAAATGGGCTTCACACATTGTACCCTTGTGGGGATTCAAACCAGTGTCTTTGGCGTGACCCACCGCCCCCTCATGTGGGAAGAAAGCCCAAGAGAAGCAGTTCTCAAACTTTTAATCATTATGGTGAATCCAACAAGCATGAGTATTGTGTTGACAAATCAAGAAACATAATTGGGTAGAACCTGGATTACAAACAATGGTCATACTATAGGTTTCTGGAGTACCAAGGGCGTGGGGTAGCCTAGTGGCTAAAGCGTTCACTCATCACGCCAAAGGCCCAGGTTTGATTCCCCACATGTGTACAATGTGTGAAGCCCATTTCTGGTGTCCCCTGCCTTGATGTTGCTGTAAAATTGCTAAAAGCTGCGTAAAACCATACTCACTCACTCTGGAGTACCCACATGGGACACAACTCATCACGGCAAATTGTGGATCTTAAGATCTGGATCCATCTGGGCCACCTATGCTCCCTATATCACTAGAGCAATCAGGTACCAGAAGTGAGCACCTTCCACAATAAATGCATGACCAGGGCAAGTGCTTCAGGGCAAACAAAACATAATGAATTCCTATTTCAACCCATCCAAACATTGTGTAGGCAGAATTTCAGGAGGTTGCACTTCCTTGCTTTCTTTTAAAAACAAAACTCTGTAACATGTCCGTAAAAGCTGTTTTTAAACACAGATATCCACTGATTTATCTGTGGTGAAGTGCTGTAAAAATTTACGGCTCCCAAGGTGGTGCATATGCTGCACCATGGACAGTCCCAATATTCCACACTCAGAAATGCTGCATTTTAAAGGAAAAGGTGGACACCACAGCCTCATTTTATAGGTGGACACCACAGATATATGATGGGGTACTGTAAATAATCAAGTCTGGACCAAACAATGCAGTGATTGACATCATGAGCATTGATCTGTGCAATTGGTCTTGGCTGACATGTGTCATAAATAAAAAGCTAAGAAAGGTTACAAAATTAGTTGGAAAACTTTTCTTTTTTTCGCACGACACTCTCTCACTGATTGGGGTTGGAGTTGAAAAACACATAAATGACATGGATGGGCTGAGATAAACCTGGATCAAGCACACATTTTGGCTGTTATGACATGCAAACACTTGACATAGAGTAGAGAGGGATTTTATTACCTCATCTTCCACTAGTCCCTGCAGACTGTCAAAGTTGCCCACAGATATGCAGCTGGAGACAAGGGACACAGCCTGAAAAACAAAGCCAGAACAGTTTTGTTTTGTTTTGTTTTGTTTTGTTGTTTAAGTTGCACTCAGCAGTATTCCAGCTATATGGCAGCAGTCTGTAAATAATCGAGTCTGGACCAGACAATCCATTGATCAACAGCATCAGCATCGACTGACTGACTGACTGAGTTTTGGTTTTACGCCGCTTTTAGCAATATTCCAGCAACATCACAGCGGGGACACCAGAAATGGGCTCCACACATTGTACCCATGGGGGATTCTGTTTGGTTTAAGCCACGGTCAATTGACAATGGCAGCTTTAACCACTAGGCTACCCACCGCCCCACCATGAGCATCGATCTACACAACAGGGATATGATGACATGTGTCACCAAAGTCAGCAGGCTTGACCACCCAAAAATATTCCAATAATTTATAATATTGAAAAGACTATGCTAAATTTAGATATTAATTTGTTTTCAACAAGATATGATCATGATGCTGGACAGATCATAAGAATTGTCAGAAAGGAATGTGTATGTGCATGTTGAATTTTCAATTGGTTTTGTCAACTAATCATGAGTCATCAATAACCTGTCTAACCTCATGATGTTTAACCAGCTGTTAACTATTGCAGATACCTTTGTAGAGTATATTCATAACTTTTCCTAAAAGGATTCATACTTGGAAATTAGTTATTCCCTTCCACATGTTCTCATGAAAATGAGTTGAAATCAACATTTTATAGCAAAACATTAAAGGTCACATGCAACATAAAACACAACTTTGCAGATTCTGATACCTTTCGGTATGGACTTACAGTAACAAATTATCAAAAATGCAAATTCAGCTTATAAAGTTGAAAAATATGTGATGAAAAAAAAATCGAAATCGGAGTTCAAACGATTCACTAATTTCACCCCCGAGCTGGGGTGAAAAGTTGTTTCAACAGCTGTGCTGCGCTGCGCCCAGAGCGCATGCGCAGTGATTAGGTTCACGCGGCTTGAACCGGGAAGGCGACTCATAAAAACACAGCAAGTGATGCGTGCAAGGATTATCGCTGTGGTCGAAGTTGGAGAACAAAAGATGTTTCTTGTGGTTACAAGCATCTTGGGTCTGCAGTAATAAAAATACACTGGTGCCATACTTTTTCTTATTTGTTTTCACATCTTGCTTTTTGGGGGTTGGTAGATTTGCAAACCAAGTTTTCAAGAAAGTGTAGCCTTAGAAATACTAATTTCATTGTTAAATTGGATACATTGAAAAATATGTTGATTGTGATAAGCAGTCTCTGTCACAGGCAAAACTCAATATCTGTTTTATTGACACCTATGTGTCTGCCTTCCTGTCTTCTAATGACAATATGTAATACACAACTTCGATCACTGACCACATGCAATTTTAACTTAACACCTATCAGGCTATACACCATAAACAAAATACATTGATTTATGGCTCGTGCACCTGAGTTCTGTCTCTGTCACATTATGTAATTACACAGACAGGCAGGTGTGATACTTGTACACATGACATGTTATTATGTCTGTGGGTTGCAAACAAACTGCATCCATTTTTCTCGGATGACTGGATCGGACGGAAACCGGTGCAAACTCAGATTGTCAGTTTCAAGTCGTGCTTTGTACTTGGACAAACGACAGTTTCCAGCCACGCAGTAGTTCACCATCTCAGTATTTGTTGATTGGATCTAGCACAAATGCAGAAAATTATGAGCATGTATTTACAAAACCAGGAGGAGGACAAAGCCACCTGGACAAAAACCACCTGGACAAAACCCAACATCTCTATATATACACACACAATGAGCCCTCAGCACGTATGGCAAATGAACCAGCCAGTGAAAGTCCTCGTTACACTTGAGTGCACACCCACCCGCTCTGACTGGGTTCGGTCTCCCGGGTGCTTTGTTTCGAGGGAAGTAAACCCAAGTACAAAATATTGCACTTTTGATTTGCGATTGTATGCTTATAATTTTTTATTTGTTTTTCATAATCAGCAATGTATATTATATGTCATGAATAAGTGATAATTGTGTTTTAAGTATGTTTGCTTTTTTGGTTGCATGTGACCTTTAACTTGTCATACTTGTATTCATTATAAACAAGATGATATTATGAGGTTTTCAAATACTTGTCCACAGGCACTCACTAAACATAAAATCATGTTAATCTATTGCAACTGCTTCACCTAGTGTGAAACAAAAGTAACTATGATAATTTATTGATGAATATGTCCGGACACTAGATTTTCGAGGGTTACACAAATTTCACTGCTGAAATTACATTACCGGGTTTTATTTTTAGATTTCTATTACAATAACCCTTCCTAAAAGTGATGCATTTTCTTATTGTCATCTTTGCCATGAGAGTTCATTGATGCTTGCTGATTACATAGGATGCTATTATTAAACTTAACACAGGATATTTGTAACAGCAATGCAAGAGAGGTTACCTTTTATATCATCTTGTGATATTTGTAGACATAAAAGTTGGAAAGACAAATGGTCGATATGACAAACATACAGTAATCCAGCATTGAAATTTATATACCCCCTTCCTGTCTTGTGTTGTGTACAGTCAATTTAATTACCTGTATACATCCCTCTATGAAAGTGTCAATCGTGAATGATTTGTCGAAATAACCTGTAATCAAAAAGGCAAAAATTCTATTTTTCATCGATTTTATGATATTAGGCCATAAAATTTCAGGGAATTCCATTAACTTCAGTGGAATTCTACGTTTCTTCCCACTCTCGTCAAATCCTGTAGAGAAAGAACGCGCGTTGTGGCGCTGTTCCACTTTGGAGCCAGGCACGTTGCTTGCAGACGTTTTACAACAAGAACCATCTTCGTGCTTAGCGAATGTGATTGTTGACAACTGGGGAAAGTTCTGACAAGATGATTTTGATGTTTGACGCAACAAGACACGACTCAGACTGGGCCTATGCGTCAAAGGGAATGTCCGCAAGCCAAGTTTTGAAAGTTTTGAAATAACACGCGGGCGTATGTTTGAGTAAATAATCGCTCCAAAAGCCCAAATCGATCGCAAGGCCATTTTCGAAAATACACATTGGTCTGGAGTTGCCTCCCTTCTACGAGAATCAATTTTGGTTTTCTTGACTAAAGATTTCCACTTCCTCTTACTCACATTACGCGAAGAAGACATAGATTCTACTAACCGAAACAAATGAATGGTGACAACGCAACATCGATATTCCGAACGAATTATGATTTACCAGTTATACACAATGCTACAAAAGATATATTCTTGAATGACGTGTATCCAAAGGTAAACCCAGGACTAGTTAAGACAAATCGTTGTTACATGTGGCAGAAGCGCATATAAAATATCATTTGCACTGCTCATTTGTCGAATATTATTCCTGGTTTTGGAATGAATTAAATGCTATAAATGAAAGAATATGTAAAACTGTCGTAAATATTTGGGTAAGATTACAGAATACCGGATACCTTCCTAACTCCTAGGGTTAGGGTAAGGTTTAGGGTTAGGGCAAGGTTTAGGGTTAAGGTAAGGTTTAGGGTTCGGATTAGGGTAAGGTTTAGGGTTAGGGATAGCGTTAGAGTTAGATAGACGTGACATTAACAATATGGTTGGTATGTATCCGGTATTCTGTAAGTGCACCAATATTTGTTCAATTCATAATGAATAGAGAAATTGATGACACCGATAATGTGTTTATCTATTGTGTTCCAAGTGTTGATCATGTGATGAGAAGTGAATGTTTTTTCAGAGAAAACCTGTTATTTTGAGAGGAATAGACATTGGGCCATGCAGAGAGAAATGGTCAGTTGACCATCTCAGAAAATTTGGAGGGGACAAGGAGGTGAAGATTCATGTGTCCACTACTCCACAGATGGATTTTTTAAAGAAAAATTTTGTTTACAGGTAGAACCCAATACAGTGATTATATATAAATTTTTCTGACATTAACATGTTTGTTCAAGATTGTTTTATAATTTGGCAAGAAGAGTGTATTTAAAATATTCGCATAAATCACAGCAGGGAAGGTGAGAGTAATTGCCTTGTAACTATTGTCAAAAATATCTGAGTTTCCTCAAATACCTTTGGATGGTTCATTAAATAAATAATTATTCATGGTCTCTTGTTTCATCAAGTTTTATCTACATTTGAACTAAGTTTGATAGCTCTGACAACAAATATAAGTTTTTATGTGTGTTTTTATAATGACATCGTCTGCCAAAATAACTTTTAAATATAGGGTGCTTAGAATATATTATTATTGCAACTATGGTACTCGTAACTTTATTATGTTTCAGTTTTATTATGTATATGAAGGTAATAGGGCTTTGATTGACATTTAGATGTCAGTCACCCAACCAAAATATCCAGCATGGCTTCTCATCAAGTAACATTTAAATTTGCTGGCATTTTCTACAAATGATAATCGTTTATATAATTTTTATTCCTTCCAGACATTGACCATCACTGTCATTAGTTTGCCATTATGATTGTTAATTTCATTTCTGATCTCTTTTTCCATTTTAGATCATTACCATTTTCAACTTTTGTACAAAGGGCAGCAGAAGAAAGACATTCCGAGTTTTTCCTTTCTGAGGTAAGGAAATTTGCTCACCGTAGATATCTTTTTAAGAGTGTCATGGCACTACCTGACAATGGTCTGTCTCTTGTTACCAATTGATGTCTTACATGATGAGGTGGACAGGTTGACTGACTTGATTGATGCATGTCACCAAAACCAAATTCCATTGATTGATGCTCCTGATGTCAGTCACTGGATATTCTGGTCCAGGCAGCAGGAATATTGCTGACTGTGGCATTAAACAACAAAAAATTCCCAAACAACATGCATTTTATTTTGTGGATATGTAGAATCTCATGAGTGAAGCCAGATATCAGTGTTATTACTAGCTGTGTCAGAAGTGCCATTTTGTCCAGAATGGAAATTTCAACTATAAATATTTTGCCCGTGCTCGGATCCAGATTGGCTTCTATGCTTTGTGTCTTGATCAGTGGTTTAATGTGTTTCACCATCTGCATCACTGTGGGTTTTGTCCCACATTCAACAGAAGCTCTTGGTTCAAATCTGTTGATTCAAATTATTTCATCAAGGCTTTATGCAAGTCTAGGGGCCAGTGGGATAACCTCATGGTTATAGTGTCTGCTCATCATGCTGATACCCCGGGTTCGATTCCCAACATGGGTACAGTGTGTGAAGCCCATTTCTGGTATCCCTGTCTTTCATCTATGATATTGCTGGAATATTAGCCTCATGCTTAAAAAAACCATACATCATGCTGACTCACTCGGTTCGAACCATGAACTCATTTCTGGTATCCCCTGTCGGATATTGCTGGAATATTGCACTCATACTCACTCACTCACTATGCAAGTCTAAGTAGCAAAATATTACTATTAAACAGCAGGAAGTGGAGTCATTCCTCAGATGAGGATAACACCTTCAGTTTTGGGGAATGAGGCATCTGATCTCAGATCACATGTTATTTCCCAAAAATATAAATGTTGTGGGCTCACCCCGATTTCCTACATTTCAGAACTAGGGTAGGTAGGTAGGTTTGGGGTACACACACTGCAAAATATTTTCACACTCATGTGTCAGAAAATAAATTCTCCTCACACTCACTCACTCAGCTAGGAATATTTAGGATGCAGGGTCGGGAAATCGAACCACAAACTTTTTTTAGGCCTTATTTCCACAGAAACTACAAAAGGATACACTCACTCGCCACTCAACTGCTCACTCACCCACCACTCACTCACTCACCCATTCACCCACTCACCCACTCACTGTTGCAGGAAGAGCATTACTACCTGAGGGCTCTAGGGGATGATCCTAGAAAAGACATAGCAGATATTCACCATCAGTTCCCGGAGTTGGCTGCTGACATCCACTTGCCCGAGTTCTATGAGCCATCCAAGTTCTACTCCAGCGTGTTCCGTATAGCATCACCAGGAGTACAGTTGTGGACCCACTATGATGTAAGGGCATAATGATATCACTGGAGACAGTCTGTGCTATAACGTTTTCAGTCTGCTTGCATTTTTGCAATATTTTTGCATTTCTTTAACCATTTACCATAAAAATCGATGTTTCAGAAAACAAATACAATCAGAATCCGAAGATATTTTTTAATACCTCCTTCAGTAAAGATCACCATGACTATAAAAATAATGCAAAGGATTTTTATGTGATTGACAATGTTTTTAGTATCATCATCTTTGTAAAAACTGAAATGCCACTATCAAGACCAAAAACCAATTCAAGATTCTTTTACCTTTTTATCACCTCTCGATCCAAAGTAAAGCTTACATGAAAATAGTTTTGACATACCATATTTTTCACAACGTAGGTCCGTAACACCATCATGCCAACCAGTTTCTAACATAAAACCTCAAAACAGTATTGAAAGGACTTGTTGGCAACAATTGGACCTAACATCCATTTAATCAACAGTTTCATCATAAATTATGCCATCTGTACATTGTTTTTTATTTTAAGATTTAAATGTTGACTTTTCTGACTCGTCTTCACACTCAAGTTTTGTCTGAATTTAATTTTGAATTTGATTGTAATGAGACATTTATTGTCAAACCACACCAGAAATATTTTCAAAATATCTGTTTTATGCTTTGTTGTTCATCTCTTTACCATATGAGATATAATATAATAGTAATAATATAATGAAGTTGATGTGAATTAACTGTAGCGATATGAATGATATTATCAATAAACTATGTGTATCTTGATATGTATATTGGGAGATACTCCCAGTTGATCTTCACTGGGTCCTTTACTATATGAGATATAATATAATAGTAATAATATAATGCTGTATGAATGATATTATCAATAAACTGAGTGTAGTATGTTATTGGGAGCGTCCACCGACAGAGTATGTGAAGGTCTGCAGGTTCGATGCTGTAGACATGCGCGTCATACCAAAAGACATTAAAATATGGTACTTGTTGGTCCCCTGCCTGGCAAAAGACGCGTTAAAATATTGTCGCATTAATGGGTACAACAAGGACTGGTCGGCTCGGAGTCAGTATACTGTGTCTGAGTGGGGTATTCATGCTTCACTGCGGCATGGTATCTCAGTGAGCTAGCACTATAAAACCAGCTTAAGTCTGGGCTAGTACAAGCAGCCGCACATACACATACACACATGCACATCGTCATATGAGTGAAATATTCTCAAACACGACGTTAAACCCAATTTCACCTCACCTCTGGTGCTGTAAGTTCAATGTGCAAATTTGAGTCTTTTCTGTCAGGATCCTGATTGTGATTGTGAGTTTGAATCCTGAGTTTTGTGGTTTGTCAGTATCATGCCTAGCTTCCATTAATGTTAATTCAACATATGTAATTATGGGATTGCGCTTTCTCAGTAAAGTACAAATTCTAGCATTTTGGGGAGCTCAGTCCCATCTGGGATTTAAACCCATACTCTGAGAGTAAGGCATGTCAGACTATGAGTTTGTGTTGATTTGTTAATATCATATTCATCTCTATGTAGGTAATGGACAACCTGCTTATACAAGTCAATGGCCGCAAGCGGGTGGTGCTTTTCAGCCCTAGAGAAGTGGAAAATTTATACTTGAATGGTTTGTGGGCTTTTAGTGTGTTTGTCTTCACTGAACAGTAAAATCCTATAAACATCGGATCAGCAGTTTGGGGTGTTTGTGTTTGTGTAAACTTATTACAAATAATTTGACATCCCAGTGCTGCACCATTACTCTCAACAGTGAGGGAGTGAGTGAGTTTAGTTTTTCGCCACTTTTAGCAATATTCCAGCAATATCAGGGTGGGGGACACCAGAAATGGGCTTCACACATTGTGCCCATGTGGGGAATCGAACCTGGGTCTTCGGCGAGACGCCTTAACCACTAGGCTGTCCAACCGCCCCTCACTCTGAACAGTGTCATTGTCCTTGTATTTACATACAGTTATGTTAATGATAGAACAAGCAAGCTGTTAACTTATTATTTGTTGATTTATTTATTGCATTTACAGGGATTTACAGGATGTGAATTCCTGCATCCTATACTCATTAAAACTGACAACGGACGCAACAAAATTTATTAGTGCATAACATGGGGAAACTTGAAAAGTCTGAATGCTTTTGTAAAATGTCAATCAGTAGCAAGAAGTTATCACTGAGTCTGCTACTAGCCAGGCTAAGTAGTTTAATTACTGTAATGTATGTGATGAAATGATACAATACAATAGGATAGTGAATTTGGAATATTACAACATAGTAGTAATAATATTTAATGGACCCCATGTTGTGTCCAGGGACCATTCCACTAACCGATCTTAACTAAGATCAATCTTGGAGTTCACTAAATTTTACAAGCTTAGCTAGAAGTTCCACTAACAGATCAAACGCCACAAGCCTACCATCAACCGTGATCTAATCAAGCTTAGATGAGACTTCATTCCATCTGCTTATATCTCCACTCCTCCACCAAGCCCAGTCTATTGTATAAACATCGAGATCCATTGTATAAACATCTCATTGTAACTACATCTCTGGCTTCCATTCACTATCCTTTATGTATTTTCACTGGCTTCATCAGCTTACTGCTTAGCACCAATCAGTGGCAATTTATGTTGTTTCCTTTGTCTATTCATGTTGTTTCATTGTTATATACAGTATATATATGCAGCTCCTACACTTCATGTATCACTCTTTGCTTGACAACGGTACAAGAATCTGTATCGAAACGTCAGACTCACCAAAATAAAGAAGTTGTTATCCATAAAACTTGTTATATATTGTACGTCTCAACTTCTAAAATGCCACTCAAACAAGTATGAAAGCCATTAATTGTTGATTTATTTATTGATTTTAGCATTCTAAGTGGGATGAGAACTTAGAATTTGGATCTTAATACTCATGACATGGGTAAGATTGGTTAGTGGACAACGGATGCAACGCCACGCAGCTAAGATTGGGATTTTAGGGGTTACAATAGGGAGGGCTAAGATCATTAGTGGAACTGAACCCAGGCCCTGAAAATTGAGAATGAGTCCCAGGACCCTCAATCACAGGACTAGGCATTTATGAAGATATAAACACAGTCACCACTCAACAGATTGCATAAGTATGCAGTTTTTACATTTGTACCTGTAGAAATGCAAAAACTGGTTCTTGAAAAGGCAGTTATTTACCAAAGCTTTGACATGGAAACTATACATAACAGGTAATAACCTTCAGAGGGATCTGTAGTTTTCAATGATAACACTGACTGTTTGGTTTTACGTCGCTTTTAGCAATATTCCAACAACATCACGGGAAATGGACGGGGCAAATGGGGACACACCACAAATTGTGGTCAATGATAACAAGAGTTAATAACAAGCAAGAGGCTTTAATGCTACCTGACAAGGGCACTTAGTTGGAAGTGAAGGGGAATCAGTGTACTAGTATAACTTAACGCTATCCACCCAGACTGTCAAAAACTGAAATTTTATAAAATCGATGTTTGAGTTATTACGTACAGGGGTAATTAGGTGTTAACACTATGGCGTTTGACTCTCCAGGCGTTAAGGAAAACAAAATATGTTATGCAGTACATTCTTTATTGTGGCCACTTTGTAACAATATACAGTGTACGCTGCTCATAGACCCTTGATTCACATCATAGTCATCCCAAGTGAGCCCAGTCTGATCAGCATAGTTCATTATGGAAATCTCTTGTCTCTGAGGCTGGTCCTTGAGACACTGAAGCCTTCCGTCAAGCTCACGGTAGCAGCGCTTCCTTGCTGGTGCACGTCTGTGGCCACACACTTGAGCACGGTGGGCCTCCACAAAGGACTGCTTTCTCTTCAACATATGAACATGCTCATAGATGTTGGGATGACATTTCCCAGTGATATTGGTCAAACGATGATGCCAACCTTCTAGATTATTGTTCATTACGTGTGTGATGGCCATCATTCAGGAATTGGTTCCACAGGTCCTGCTTCCACTGATTTGGTCCATCCACCCATGTCTCTGTGATGTAGTCCATAAATCTGGTGATAGCAGAGCCTTGAGGAGCATCGGCAATAGCTTGGACCCAAACATCCTCAACTTGATAAACAGGCACCAAAGCTAGTGAACAGCATGTCATACACGTCGTCGCCAGTCATCACACTCTTTGTACTCAGTCACTAGGCCAAGTTTCTGGATACATCTCCAAACACACTGACAGTAGTGAAAGTAACATCCACGATAGCAACACTGGCAACACTGTCGACACGGCGTTGAGGGCGGCCTTCTCAAAATCCATCTGAATGACGGTGGCTCTACTCATGGGTAGCTTGGGAATGGTCTTGTGCCTCACTTGGTACATGGATGTTCTAACAGTGTCAAACATAGGAATGTGCTGCAAGATATCATATGGCAGGGACTAGTGTTGGGAATTGGTGTAAATCTCATAATTGATGATTGGTTCATTACAACCGATCAATCATCGAAAATAATTGGTTAGCGTTATTTATCAAATTTTCCTGGTTATGTTTGTTAATGCACAAAAAATAAAGAAAAAACATGTAGTTCTCTTTGTGTGTTTTTTCACAAATTGCACAAAATGCATTTGCAAATTTCACATCTTTAAAGGATGACTAGTGTGTTAGGAACATACATTTCCTGGATGGAGTTGTTAGATAGATTTAATCATGACTTGGAACGAGCTTGTAGTGCTTATGCAATGTAGAGACAAAATAAACCTATTAAAAAATATTGTTATTGCAAACAAGTGTTCCCAAATTGTTTGTGTTCGATTATGAGAAAACATGATCGATTGCTTGGTCGTTTTGTCATTGCGACCAATCTTCGATTATTTTAATTAATGGGACCACCACTAGCAGGGACTCGGCATTTCTTCGGATGTTGATCAGTTCTTCATCGAAGATTCTAGCACGACATTGTGTGATACTCGATTCTGATTGGCTGAGAGCTCATCAAAACCGTACTTAAAATAGCAGTTTAAGACCGCTAATTTAAGTGACCGATTCACAGCGTATGAATACAACGAACTCGTTGACCCTATTGTTTGTAAACAAACATGTCGGACATCGGCAATTTTTATCTCGGCGGCATCTTTGGGGGTTTTTTTAAGTAAAAAGCGAATGGTTTGAAGGAGAATATCTTAAACCAAATCCCAGTGGAGAAACTAAGAAGCTGCAAATCCGTCAGCAGCGCCAAAAGGGGCAGTATATTCAAATCGGGTCCAGATCTACATATGTTGACGTCGACAACACACGTATTGATCAGTAGGGGAGATCAATAATTCGCTTGAGGAAAATCAAATAATTGTACTTGCTCACAGTATAAACTGTATTGTTTTTAATTAATGTATGCTACAAATACAAGCATACTGGTTCCTGAAATAAAGCATTTATGATGTTGAAAATGTCCTATTTTGTTCATTAAACATCCTGTCCCTGAACGGGACGATTCCAAGCGATTTCCAGGAAAAAGGCCCCTTCGCGCCATGTGTTCTTGCGCGCCAAACAGTTCGGTTTTAAAACGCTTATCAGTCGTGCTAGAATGAAGATAAAGCTACACTGTTTTCAATTTTGCGGTCCTTTATCGTTGATTTAAGACAGCTAAATGTTTAATTTAAAACCTCACGCTAACGCGTTAGTTTTTTAAATTACATTTAGCGGTCTTAAATGAACGATAAAGGACCGCAAAATTGAAAACAGAGTAGCTTTATCTTTTAATTGTGTTGATGGTTGTTGTCTCTGTCTTGGAGTAGTGAATGAGCATAGACTTGAATTGGTCGATGTGAAGCAGGAAGACATGTGAGGCATGGTTGTCAAGATGGTTTCCGAAACTGGATATGACGTCATCTCTACTCTGAAGGGTAGCCTTGCAAGTTTTCTCCACACAGCGCCAGTATGTGACGTCATACTCTTTTCTCATTTCAACAACAATGATACTCACGTCTTCTTCCTCGTTAATTAGAGTAGAGCGGATTAGCGCAGTCTTTCTGCTATTCGCAGGTTCATGTTCTCCAAGGCAGTCGACACTCCAGGTGTGGAGCATTGCCACACTCCACTGCTTTTCGAAAGTCCGGGTGTGTATTCAATAAAACATTCGACAGTCCGGGTGTGAACCAACTGAACTACATTTATCAATTGTTGTTGTTGTCAGGAGACAAGTCAGAGGTCATTGACATCGACAATCCTGATCTGGAGCGGTTCCCCAAGTTTCCAGATGCAGAACGACATGAGGGATTCCTCGACCCAGGCGACATTCTCTTCATTCCTGGTGAGGCAGAAAACAAAACAAAAATCCTCAAAATTGTACAAAACTTCAATGTTTTTGTTGATGGTTGTGTCAGAAAAGTAATATTATTTGGCTGATTTGTGTATTTGTAGCTTAATTAAACATTATCTAACTAGACTTTATTCATAATGTTGATTCAATTTCTAACCAACATAAACAAAAAACAACATGACTTTATTCTTCAATAATGTTGATTTTTCCATTATTTTCAGCCCTTTGGTTCCATAATGTGATCTCCCTGGAGTTTGGTGTTGCTGTGAATGTATTCTGGAAACACCTCAGCCCAAACCTCTATGACCACAAGGACACATATGGCAACAAGGACCCCCAGCCAGCCGCCAGAGCCACCCAGATCCTAGACCGTGCTCTGAAGACCCTAGAGGAGCTGCCGCCCGAGTACCGGGACTTCTACGCCCGTCGACTGGTCACAAGGATCCAGACCAAAGCCTACATGAAACAGGATGACTCTGTTTCATGACATCAGTGTTGTTTGCTATTGTGTAAATAAATGCAATTAAATGTTTTTGAAGAAACCTAATTCTGTGTTTTTAGTTCAATATAGGAACATCTGTGTGTTATAAGGCTGGTTATTGTGGTGATCCTGAAACACTTGGGGCAGTAGGTGCCCTTTGATCTAAGGTGCAGTAATTTGCTCTGCAGAGTTGCCTCCCTTAGACATGTCAGCACCTATGATAATGGGTTTGCCCAGTGATGTTTCTTGGTTTGTCAGCAATGTATCCTTGCTTGTAGGTTTCACCAAAGCTGTAATTAATGTCTCTGCATCACTTCAGGCTTTTCACTTCAATTCAGTTGATGATCCATGGTACTGGAATACTGGAGTACTATTCAACAGTGTTTAACCAAACACAATCATTCACTTACTCACCACTCTTACTTCGGATTCACATGCTTCCACTTTCATTAGTTTAGGGAGTGAATGACTGTTGCTTAGAACCTGAATTACAAGTAAAAACAAAACTGGATGTACATCTTTTTCCCAATATATCAGAACACAAACAAATATTGCAATATATATCATTTGACATGGATACACAACCATATATATAACAAATGCTTACTCCCATATGAAAGGATTTCACCAAAATAGCAGGCAGTTTGACATGGATACACAACCATACTGGGATACCGGTAATAGCAGGCAGTCATATGGACTGTGTGTTTTGTGGGAAACTAACAAAATCTTACTCCCATATGTTGAAAGGATTTCACCAAAATAGCGGGCAGTCATATGGACTGTGTGTTTTGTGGGAAAATAACAAAAGCTTACTCCCATATTTTGAAAGGATTTCACCAAAATTACAGTTATACCTAAAAAAATGCATCTCATGTAAGTCAGCAGGATTAAAGTAACTAAAGTGTTCACTGGTCATGCCGATTCCAGTGTTGTGTGCCGTGTAGTAGATCTGAATAATTTTGACTGGAATTATGAAGATGTTTTCTAAACTGTCCGAGGTGAGTGAGTGAGTTTAGTTTTACGCCACATTCAGCAATATTCCAGCTATATGGCAGCGGTCTGTAAACAATCGAGTCTGCACCAGACAATCCCGTGATCAACAGCATGAGCATCGATCTGCGCAATTGGGAACTGATGACATGTGTCAACCAAGTCAGCGAGCCTGACCACCCGATCCCGTCAGTCGCCTCTTACGACAAGCATAGTCGCCTTTTGTGGCAAGCATGGGTTGCTGAAGACCTATTCTACCCCAGATCTTCACGGGTCCTGTGCGAGGTTCAAATGATTGCTACTAAAATACATATAATGCTCTGTATTGTATGTGCACTTGCTTCATGTCCAATGTAATGAGCAATGAGTCTAGACTATATTCATTGTATATGTGAGTGAGTGAGTGAGTTAAAATTTAACGTCACCTCGGCAGTATTTCAGCCATATAGTCACGACATTGTGTATGTGGGCGTAGTGGTAGCCTAATGGTTACGCCGAAGACTCGGGTTCAATTCCCACATTGGTACAATGTGTGAAGTCCATCTCTGGTGTCCCTCAACGTGATATTGTCGTAAAACCATACCCGCAAAATGAGTATGGTTTTACATCCCTTATAATGATATTTCATCAATATCGTGGCAGGGGACACCAGAAATGGACTTCACACATTGTTCATATGCCCTTTATCCACTTGACTACCCCCTGGGTATCACCTTAACCCAATTATTAGTTCTAGGGGTGCAGGCAATGTGAGGGTCCTTTGACGTAACAGTGTAGAGAACTGTACGTTTTGATAATTTCTATAGAGCCTGGAATGAATCATTGATCATATGGACTGGTTCATGAAATGATGCACATAACTGCTCTGAAAGAAAGAACCAAACACATAGCAAAGTCATAGAAGTGTTGTCGGTACAATGAATAATATTGTGCTTTTTTTTTTCTGCATGAATTTTCTGTGTCCATTTGCATGTCGTGTAAATCCCTGTTCCCCCAAATGTGAGGTGAGGTGAAATTGGGTTAAACGTCGTGCTTGAGAATATTTCGCTCATATGACGACGTGCATGCGTGTGTGTGTGTATATGTGGCTGCTTGTACTAGCCCAGACTTAAGCTGGTTTTATAGTGCTAACCCACTGAGATACCATGCCGCAGTGAAGCATGAATACCCCACTCAGACACATTATACTGACTCCAAGCCGACCAGTCCTTGTTGTACCCATTAATGCCGAGAGCCAGGCAGGGACCAACAAGTACCATATTTTAACGTCTTTTGGTATGACGCGGTCGGGATCGAACCAGCGACCTTCCGCTCTCTCGGGCGGACGCTCTAACCACTACACCACGGAGGCGGTCTGTTCCCCCAAATGAAAGTATTACCAATAACAGCACACAACACATACAAGATACATTTCAGTCTTTATTCAAGGAAGCTTTTGCCGCACACCTTCACATCATAGCAAGTCTACATGTCTTTCAGACAGCAAATACATTAATTTATCCAACGTGTGTTGAGGACTCATAGTCCTCTGGACGTGTCTCCGATCAGCACTACTTCCTTCTTATCACAATCTCCATCTCGTCTATACATACCACTCAACTTTTAACAGGAATATTTATCTTTCCATCCCACACAAAACAGATGCTCATGATGTGAATATTTAAATAGATTTAAGGACCTGTGCCCTGTTCCACAAAGTAAACAGCGCTAAGATGATCGTAACTGCCATGGTTTAACATAGACTTGCGACAGTCATAGCGCTACGATTGCTTTGGGAAAAGGAATCCTGTGCCCTGTTCCACTAAGTAAACGTAGCACTAAGATGATCGTAACTCCCTTGGTTTAACATAGACTTGCGACAGTCGTAGTGCTACGATCGCTTTGGGAAAAGGAATCCTGTGCCCTGTTCCACTAAGTAAACGTAGCACTAAGATGATCGTAACTGCCTTGGTTTAACATAGACTTGCGACAGTCGTAGTGCTACGATCGCTTTGGGAAAAGGAATCCTGTGCCCTGTTCCACTAAGTAAACGTAGCACTAAGATAATCGTAACTCCCATGGTTTAACATAGACTTGCGACAGTCGTAGCGCTACGATCGCTTTGGGAAAAGGAATCCTGTGCCCTGTTCCACTAAGTAAACGTAGCACTAAGATAATCGCAACTCTCATGCTTTAACATAGACTTACAGTCGGCACTAAGATAAAAAGGAATCCTGTGCCCTGTTCCACTAAGTAAACGTTAAGATAATAAGCTCTCATGCCTTAACATAGACGTCAAGTGCTACGATTGGTTTGAGAAAAGGAATTCTGTGCCCTTTTCCACAAAGTAAACGTAGCACTAAGATAATCGCAACTCCGATGCTTTAACATAGACTTACGACACAGTCGTAGCGCTACGATCGCTTTGAGAAAAGGAATCCTGTGCCCTGTTCCACTAAGTAAACGTAGCACTAAGATGATCGTAACTCCCATGGTTTAACATAGACTTGCGACAGTCGTAGCGCTACGATCGCTTTGAGAAAAGGAATCCTGTGCCCTGTTCCACTAAGTAAATGTAGCACTAAGATAATCGCAACTCTCATGCTTTAACATAGACTTACGACAGTCAACGTAGAGCTAAGATTGCTTTGAGGAAAGGGACCCTGATGATCCCTGTCAAAAGTTGAGCTGTATATATCATGTCATTTACCTATGTGACCTCAGAAGAGTCTGTCTAATTTGTGCCATTTATATTCACTCCATAGATAACTGTTCTACCTGAACTTCTAAAGTAACAGCATCATGAGAATATACACATACAGAACGATTTTACACCTATGAATGAAAAGGACCCAGTGATCATGTTGTCTGTGACCATTCTTGTGTTTTCACAATTAAGTGAAAGATAGTCCAGAATATTAGTTTCAGTGTCTATACTTCCATATCTGGTTTGTATAACACTGCACTTGGGGTACTTACATGAGGAACATTTTTTCAGTAGTTCGAGAAATATATTTTTCATGATTTGCCAATCTGCATTGATGGCTTTTTTGTCTTTCTTGTTTGTAAAGCAACGTATAGCTATGTCATATGTCACATCAGTGCAGTGTTGCCTAATTGTTAGAGTTGACATTTTCATGCGCTTTGAGCAAGCACCTTGTGGATGGATACAGCACTTTATAAATACTCATCATTATTATTATTATTATTATGTCCCGAGACATGTTTCATGTCTTCAGCAATAGCTTGTTATGTGACCAACAGACATATTCTATATTTCCTTACATGACAAAAGAACTAGGTAAATTACAGAATCTTCTAGTAATGAAGAACACTAACAGATTTATGCCTGGTGAATTAACATAGAAAGTCCCCTGCCAAAGTCGGAAACTCACTCGGGACAGATCATCTGGAATTCCTTGTAGCTTATTTTCATTCTGCCAAGGGACACAAGTCATGTGTTACTGGCAGAGCTAAGGGACACTACTCTAGTTAGTGCCAATTAAACTTCTGCGTACAAAGAGGATGAACTATTCCGATGATTTTAGTCCCTGCAAGGTAAATGAATCAGTATTCTTGTGTTATTAAATGTGTCAGATCAGAGTTGCATGGGGTTGGCCCTTGTTTCTTCACATTTTTAAGTTGTAAAGATAATTTTTCCGCCAACAAGTCTGTATAATTTAATGTTAATCAACATAATCATAAACAGTGAAGGCACAGTTCTGTGCATATATAATTAAACTTTGTCAATTGTAACAGACATCTCTTACAGGCTTGTGCTGTGCCCTGTGTGAAGAATCATTTTTTAGCTGATAACTGTACCGAGAATAACCTTTTTATCATACACTAAACCATACCTAACTACGAGACTGGTCTTTCTACATACCACAAGATCAGAAAAGATATATTTTAAAACTTACAACTCTGATATAACACCTTTAAGAACCTCAATAATTATTTATGTTCAAAAATATAGAAAAACAATGCTGCCAGATTTCTGTACAAAGTGAATAATGTCATGAGACCAACAAGGAACTTGGAACGTCTACCTCCATTAATATATGTTGTCAGCGTACATTGCTTTGCAAATCTCA